GTTCTATAAAATGTTGTGTACCTTTTTCTGAACTTCTAACCAGTGTGGTTCAAGAAGATCAAAGAAGCTACATCACTTGTTAGCATCACTTTCTGTGATTTTTTTTTTCCATTTTCTGTTTTAAAGCTTGGTCGGCATTTTTCCTCAAGGGGTTGGTGGAGGTCTGGTGAACAAATCACACTCAGTCAGGCTTCTGGGTCTTGGCTTCCTAGCCACATCTGTGCAGCAAAAAGAGAACACTAGATTCAAGTCATCCTGGGTTTGGGGATTTTTTTGGAGCGGAGGGGAGGACCATGTGTGCTAGTTTTTATTTTTGGTGCTTTGGTATCATTAAGGAGATGCTTTGCTTTAATTAACTATTTGCATATTTTCACATGTATTTTAAAGCTTTACTATTCGTGAGCTGAATTTCTTTACAGAAAAGTGTAGTGACAATGAGTATTGTAGGAGAAAAAGTAAAAACTCGTTCTCTGTCATACATCTAAGAAGTGGTTATTCTCTTTTCAGTTCATACAGTGTGTTATGAGCATCTAAATCAAAAGGAAGCAAGCCGTGGATGATCATGATTTAACATTCCAGTTTTATGAGCATCTTAATCAAAAGGAAGCAAGCTGTGGATGATCATGATTTAACATTCCAGTATGTGCTTTGCTTTGCCAAGTTCTCCAATGATTGTGTATCTCAATATTGGAAATTGCATATTGTATGAAGGCATCCCTTTTCACACATTTTTTAGTCTTGATAATGAGTATGAACTACTCATGTACTGTTGTCTTTAACTTCCAGTGTGTGATTATTAAAGCTGCTTTTATTTCCATAAACTTGCAATTCACTATCTATAACTCAGATCATGCAAATGGTAAGACTTTTAGGCATGTGTCTACTTTTTCCCCATGATTCACTAAAATCAGTTTCTGGAATGCAATTTACTGTTTTCTGACTTCAACAGTAACGTGTATGACTTAAGAGGATACATATTTTCTTGTCTTTGACAACATAGGACTGATGTACAAACTAAAAGGGATTTTGGAATGGTCATTTTGCACTGGTCTGTTAAAACACGAGTAAGTTCTGGTTACTTACTTTGTCAGCTCTTGAAGGTGAAGCCTGTGACTCCATGCACTGAGTGTAAGACTACCTGCCAGAACTTCTTCTCAGCAGGGATGCAACAAAACGTAGCAGAAAACTCTCCTAGCCTTGTGCCCTGGTACCAGGGGCTTTGTTCTTGTAAGATTCTTGCTTTGTTTGTGTCACTGCATAAAACACTTTTAAACATACAAAAACTGTGCTGTGTCAGTTTGTGCATCAACTCTCCCTTCACAGACAGACAGACTTCAGTCACATGTAAATAAATGTTTCTATCTCCTCCACTTTGACCCCTAGCAAATGGCCTTCATGCCTCAATGTGCCAGCTAACACGCAAGGGCCAAAAGCCACTTGGAAAAAATTCTTGCCATGTTACTCTTTCAGATCACAGCAGTAGTTACCAATGAAAGCAGATACAGACAGGCAAGGCTTACTTGCCTGAGGTTCTTCAGGGGGGAAAAATGGGATTTTTGTTTGGTGGAGGTTTTATTGTTGCTTTTGTTGTAGGGATTTTTGAGAAATGGGAAGGATGGACATTGTATGGAAAGAGGGAACAGCACAACTGTACAGAGGTAGTACAAACTTTTTTCCAATAAAATAAGTTAATGAAACTTTTGTTAATTTTGGTCACTTCTGCCTACCACAGAGGAGTGATATATGTTGTTTTTCTGCTTGTGAATACAATGCCATAAAAACCTTTGTATTAAGGAATGAAAGCAAAGCTACACATAGGTGCATATATATAGACACACCTAAATATACATCATTGGACAAACGAGCTCCTCAGAGCAGGAATCTCACTCAGAGATACTGTATTGTACTCTGCTTTGTGGAGGTGTCTATTAAATCTGGCACTTTAGTTTCTGGGCTGTAAATTCAAAGCAGGCTCGTCTTCCCTAAAGAAGCAACTTGTACTTACTGCTTAAATGTAGAATCCTCTGGGTATTGCTTGTAATTTCATTGCAGAAGCTAGTTCTCTTTCTGCCCTTATAATGAATTTCAAAGGCAAAGACAGCATTATAGATTCACATTCTATATGTTGTCCTGTTGCACATAAAGTTGGGAAACAGATGGAATACATTTGTATTCTAATGGAATGCATTAGAAGTATTTCTAATGGAAAGACCAAAATCCACAAAAGTTTGTCAGAGTGCAGCAGACATCAGTTCTGCAGCAGTTCAAACCTTTGACAGCTGCCAAGGTTGGTAAGCATGTGAAAAAAGGCTGTTCTTCCTGTAGGGATTTGAATATTTTGTATATATACAGTGCTCATCCTTACACTTAATTTTACCCTAAGAATAGTAAGAGATCTTTACCAAAATGTTCTTTTCCCACACATCAATGCTTCTGCTTAGTTGGGTTTCTGGTCTTGTAGTGGCTTTGCTGGGATGGAATTAATTTTCTTTATAGCAGCCCAAAGGTTCAGATTTGTGACTGATCAGCAGCAATAACACAGAAATGTTTCAGCTGTTGCTGGGCAGTGCTTGCATAGTGTCCAGGTCTTCTCAGTTTCTCACTCTGCAGTCGCAGTGAGTAGGCTGAGTGTGGGCAAGAGGCTGGGTAGGAATTCAGTGAGGACAGCTGACTCAAGTGGGCCAAAGCACTCAAGACCCAAGGACCCAAAACACATCTTGCTCAGTTTATTTCCCCAGGCTGAATGGGTATTTTGGCACCAGCCAGTTACTGGGCAGTGAAATGCTGCAAGAAAACAGTGTGAACCAATAGGGTTTTCTTCAGTAGTCTTGCAAACATAAACCAGAGAAAACTGGAAAAAAAAATTGTTCCAAAACCAGGAGAAAATTCTGGCTTTCTCCAGAAAAAATAGTTTTTTGTTTTACATCAACATTTCAAAAATCAAGTGTATTCACAGGGACTGATGAGATACATAATTTTTAACGTTTAGAGGGAAGCTAAGCTAATACATGCAGATGCTAAGGAGTTAGTACAGAGTTTGCTGTCCTAGCTAAAAAAAAAGCCACTTGAAACCTTTTCAAAAATTGCTTCCCCATTAAAAGTAGATTCAGTGGACAGATTGAATATGCAAGTTACTTGCTTTAGAGAAACAGGTATTATTATTCTCAGAATACCTGGGATGGATACTCATGTGACACAGGATACTTATATGGGGTGATTGCTCTTGACCTTTGAGCCAACCACCAGGCATAGTTTCAAATAGGTATTTTTCCTAGGTTGCCCTCAAACAGGCAAACTAAGGAATAGTAATTTTAGATTGCTTTGAGAACAGTAGGCCCTTAAGACAAAGATTTGAGAAGGTCACTGGATCATATTCAACCTTGGAATTTGAAGAATACCGTCTATATTCTTCTATTAGTCTTTTCCCTTTCATGCAACATTTTATTTTATAGAGATCTTTAAGACAGAAAATGCTAAATACAGCAAATCAGAAGAACAAAATACACACAAGAGTCTTTGTCATTGAAAGTCACTTTACTGATGTTACAATATGTTAGTAACATTGAAAACCACAGGCATTTGTATTAAATACTCTTGTAGAAGTGGATACTGTGACGCTCTTATTATTAAAAGTGAGCAGGAATTTAGAACCCCAAATTACAACAATTTGATTTTATAAAAAGCAACATTTTGTTTAGCTACATGAAAGCCAGATTCATTCAACAGCCCAATGCCTGTAATGTTTATGACAAAAATATCACACTCAAAGCTAGAAAGTTGTAAACTGCAGTGCTTCATTTTGATGTTTGTCAAAATCTTGCATTTTTATTACATCAGGTATGATTTTTAAAGAATTTTAACTAGCAAAGACAATGATATGATACAAATCATTGTTTTTGCCAACACTAGCCCAGCCACAGGGGTGAAACATGATTCTCCTTGCCTCTTTCAATAATGGCTAGTATGAGTGAAAAAATAGCTTTTTTTTTTACAGCAATGCCCAAGTTAAACATCAGCACAAAATGAAGCTGGCAGAGCCAGTTGGTATGTACCACCCCAAAAGCTTTGCTGAAAGAACTGGTCATACAGTAAATAGTGTTTTCTCCAGCAGATTAAAAATTCCATAATGCTTTGCTATTCTGAAAAAAATATTTTGCATTTATGCAACAATAAAAATAAGTACTGTACTCTATATAAAATATTACCTATTGTAATATATTTTTATCCTTAAGAAAAGAAAAATCAGGTTATATATTCACAGTTTGAGTATGTTCTGGACTGTATTTCCAAGCATAAAGTATGCAGAGTCTACACAGGCAGTGAGCAGGAGTTCTTGTACCAATAATCAAACTAAATCAGCATTTGCTGTTCTACAGAGCCTTAAAATATTGCATGATTAGCTGCTCGCACCACTCCACTTACAAGGTCAGTCAGGCCTATATACAGAATTTCTAACATGGTTGTAAAAATAGACTTTCCATGCTAAAATTAGAATATGTAAGGTCTTAAGGCCTCATGTTGATATTTTTTTAAACAAAAGCTTTATTTTTTTTATTCAAAGGAATACAGAAACAAAAAAATAAAAGATTGTTGCTTTGACATTTTATGCTCTAGCGATTAAAAATTGTGTTGACTCCTTTACTCCTACCCTAGATAACATGTTTCTTTTTAACTGCTCTGTGCTTATTTTGCCAAATTTTCCTCATCTCATTCTGAGTTATGGCAATTGTGGCCCATCTTAAGTAGCATAAGTTTTTAAACAGTTTAAAGCTGGTTTAGCTGAAGTGATTTTGAAACTGGTATAGACTGGATTTTAAAGAGCTAGAACTGCCAGACCTGGCTAGGTGAGCCAATTTTGAAGCCAGGTACATTATCTCAAGTGTGAGCAATATCTGTGTTCTGAACTTATTTTTAGTGCTTGTTTTTCTTACTTGGATGAGATAACCTGGAATGTTGACTGTTGTAGTGCTTTTCTCTAAATACTTGCAGAAAACTGTTGTGGAATGACAAGACACCATGTGCACAGTGTGCTGTTTCCAAAGCTGCAGCTTACATCATACTTGAGACACCAGAAATGGTTTTCATAATCTGACTTAGAAACTACTCGCATCAGAAATTTTTAGCATAGATGATAGAAACTATTACTTCCTTTCCAGTTCCTGACAAAATCACACTTAAGAGAGTCCTGTTTGTATTGCAGCTGTGTTTACACAATTAGTTTCACTGTTTCATTTTTACTTGCCTTATTAGGATAATAGTTATGTGCACACAGGAACCTCACTCCACTGTCCAGTCATGGGATCACAACCTGCACATATTTTTGCAGCTTACTCAAATTTGTCCTCAGGAATCGCAGAATATTCTGGGGAGGGGACCCACAAGGATAATCAAGTCCAAGTCTTAAGTGAATGGCCCATGGGGCAATTGAACCCGTGACCCTGGCATTATTAACACCGACCAATTGAGCACGTCAAATGTGATCCAAGTCAAATCCCATATTGCTGATACATAAGATTTGGAAGCCATGCAAATAGTGGGTCATCAGCTCATCCATTCTTGGTATTCAGCAGAGACTGAAATGCTCGATCTCGTTAAAAATGAGGCAAATAGCATCATATTGTGGTTAAAAACAGTGGTCCGTACAGTCCACTGCTATCCCGTGACACTGAAACTCAATTTATAAAAGGAAAAATATGATTTTCAGACTTGGAGCAAGAGAAACAGGAAACAGCTGAACTACTGGGTTCTCAGACTTGGTGATTTAAGAGATTTAGCCTTCAAAAAGGCTAGAAGGTGAGACACAGGATGGCTGAGTCACAAAGTGGTTTAACCAGTAATATTCTGATTTAACCACAAGTAATTAAGCCCCAAAACAGCCCCTTGCTCAGTTCCCACCCACAGTGGGATGGCAAGAGAATTGTAAAGGTAAAAGCGAGAAAACTCATGGATTGACATAAGAACACTTAAATAATTAAAATTAAATAATTATAGTAATGATAAAAAAATTAATAAAAAGGGAACTAACACAGAGTGAACTAAAACCCAAAAAAGACAAGTGATGCAAATGAAAATAATTGTTCACCATCGAGAGACCAGTGCTCAGCCAGTCCCTGAGCTGCAGTTCTTCACTGCCAGCCTTCCCCCTGGGTTGTTGCTGAGCGTGGCATCATATGGTTTAGGGTATCCCTTGGGTCTGCTGTCCTGGCTGTGTCCCCTCCCAACTCCTTCTGCACCCCAAACCCAATTGGTGGCGGGTCATATGAAGAGCAGAAAAGGCCTTGGCTCATTGCAAGCACTGCTCAGCAATAACTGAAAAAATCCTTGCATTATCTACAGTGGTTTCAGCACAAATCCAAACCACAACCTCATACCAGCTACTGTGAAGAAAATTAACTCATCCCAAGCAAAACCAGTGCAAAATCCACAAGACATGAGGCATCATCACCTGATTATAGCACAAGCAAAAGATCACAAAATCATTAAATGGTCTGGGTTGGAAGGGACCAAAAAGATCAGATCATTCCAACCCCGCTGCCATGGGCAGGACTTTCCACTGACCAGGTTGTTCAGAACCCCATCCAACCTGGCCTTGAACATTCCAGGGATGGGGCATCCACAGCTTCTCTGGGCAACCTGTGCCAGTGTCCCACCACCCTCACAGTAAAGAATTTTTCCTAATACCTAATTTAACCTACTATTATTAACAGTATTGGAAAGACCCTACCCATACTGTGGAAAGGTGACCAACTTTTAGCAGCTTTCTGATGTCAGCCAACTCACAGAGGCTGTTAGTGGATGAATGTTTCATGCAAATCCTTTTCAGCAGAAGTGAAAAAAGGATGGAAGAGAAAAGGAGCTCACTGAGTTTTACACTGGAGTGTGGTAACTTTGCTTACAACTAGCTACGGGATTCGATGACAGCAAGTCCTAAGGGATAACTGAAGAGTATATCCTTTAGGATTATGGAGTCTAATACTTCTTTCACATTACATTCTATTAATCAATTCCCTAATGAAGCTACAGCAAATTTGGTCAGAATTTGTAGTATATGCATGTCTATAATAATGTATGTACCCATTCTTACCTCTGGTTTTGAAAAAAGTTGTTGCATTAGCATTGACAAGACCAATCAGTCCAAACCAGCAATAGGGATTTGAGTAAGAGGATTTCAGTACACTAACTATTGACACAATTTCTTTCTGATTTTAATTCAGGCTATACCTCAAAGGTTTCAATAGCACAATCAAAATTACTTCATGAGCACACGAGCTCAGCAGGTTCAATATCTCATAAATCAGGAACTTTTAAAATCATTTGGAAGAAGCCATCTTCAAAGTCAAGTCACACTTCAGGTGACTGGCAAGTTGTGACTTTAGTCACAATTTAAGCAAAGATAGGCTCTATTAAGGTAACAATCTTCTTGAATCTACTTAATTAAATATAACAAAACTATATGTAAATTATCAGTCACAACTGTCTCTGGTATATTGTTTGAGATTACTAAAGTTCTTAAGTCAACAAATCCAGAATTAGATGGTAAATCTTTACTTGTTAAACTGTGGCAACATTGTGCAGCATTATTTTAGATACAATCTCAATTTTCCAGTCTCCATCAGTTAGTCACATTATTTTATTATAAATAACACAAGATTCTTTTCCCACATTGAAATACATAAAGGTATTATAGTAAGTATATTTCATCCTGCCAGTCCTATGCTCATATAAACAATTACTTCTAGTTGAGAACTGATGGCTTCCTTACTTCAACAGGCATCTACAGCACAGTTGGCAATTAACTAGTCCATTTATTAAAATAAAACCAAAATAAAAGCATGAGTCTCAATTAGTCGAAATGACTGAGCTATATTAGTGACAAGTACTCTATTTTAGTCTGGATGAGGTATTATGCAGCAGTTTATATTGCTATTGCCAGCGTAACTAACTACAGTGGATAAAAATATTTGCAATCTTCAAGGTTATTAATCTGGCAGCTTTCCAACATACTACATTTTAAAAGTAGGAAATGACAGCTTTGTAAGAAAACAGCTTCTCTGTCCAACCTCCACTGGCCTGGGAGGCTCACACAGCCCTGCCAGTTCAGGTCTCCCAAGTTACCAACTTGATGCAAAGTTCTCTACAGAAGAATTTTGCAAGAACACAAGCCCTGTGATATTCTCACGCTAGACCACCAAAGTGAAAGTCAACATTTATTTAACTTAAACTTAGTGCTCAGAACTAGACTTCCAGTCACTACATATCTCCAAATGTGAGGGTGACTGTTAAAGGTACACTACACATGTAAGTGTATCATCATATGCTACAAATGAATTATACCATAACAAAAGAAGCTGGAAGTACATACTACATTGAAAATACAGTCAGGAGGGACATTTGTTTGCAAAACAAGAAGCTATGAACATAGCAGAAAGAGCCTGCATGTTATCTCCCGTTCTGTCTGCCAAATCTTGCTGCTTCTTGGTAAGGCAAAATGGAAAGGGAAGAGTAAACACTGAAAAACATAAGATATGCACAGAAATCTAATGGGATCATTCAAAACTACATGCCAGTTTGTTTCAAAAAAATACCATAAAAGGCACATGATGAACAGTCCAGTTACTAAAGACAAGATATGGATATGGGAGGGAAAACCAGCTTCCAGGTGACAGTAATACAGCGATGATCAGGTTATCATAATGTCCTAATGTGGGTGAACCTCTTGAGGGTCCTGCTCAAAGTCCAGTGAAATCAACAAAAGACATATTGATTTCATGCTATGGCTCAGACCCTAATTTCATAAGCTACATGCTATCAACTATGTTTAATCCAGATAGCTACACTCAAAGTAAATCTTTGCAAAAAATAATCTTCAGTGCTGATTGATATATTTACCTTTCACAAAAATGCAGAATCTTTCCCTAAAGCAGTTACCAGTGACTGTCTCTTTCCAGATGGTCAGTCTGCACCCACTTGTGCTCACTTATATTTGTCTTTTTCCAAATACTTACCAGAACCTGTTGACTGTGAGAAAATCATTTGAATGCCAAGGCCAATATTTTGTCATAATCATACATACAGCCTAATCATAAAATATAGTGCTTCTAAAAATCTTACATATTTTACAGCTGCCGACATCTTTAAACATTTATTAATTTAATCTTACATATATCTGACTTTATTGAGAGACGTAAAAGTTAAAAAAATACATTAAAAGGCTGCAAGTGTTGGGTTCACTTACTAAAGGAAATACATGAAAGAGGTAGAAGATTCAGAAACACCATAGATGTTCCCATTACAATAATATCTAATTAATCATACAGCTGTTGGGTAGGGTACTCAACTGCACCACAGAGTCAGGTGTTTTGTTTTGCAATGGTACTACCTGAAGCTAAGAAGTAGTCAGTTTTGGAAAACCAGAGAATTATAAACTGATTTAATATGGTCCAGTTTCTCACTAACTGAAAATTCCCAACCAGAAGGCATTTGCTTTACAACAACCTTCAGAAGTCTCGGGTGTTAGAAATATAACATCAACTTACAGACAAGATTAACACGGTAAAGAGTTGTTCCCCCCCTATTCTTTTTAAGCTAAATTCATTTGTGCTCAGTTTAATGCCCCAAAAAATTGTCAAGGGGGCTTCAGGGGCAGCAAGCATAGCATTCAAGCACATGGTAAATGCGATTCCAGTAACAAATAAAAATTGAAAGACAGCAATGAAACTGGCCACTTTCCCAGCACTGTTATTATCTAGTGCAGTGAAATCGTTATGCTTCTCATAAGCCTATGCCTTGCCATTGAAAACAGTGTCTGAAATGCTCTATCAAAAATACACAGCAACTCTCACAGACAGACTTCACATCACCACATCCTGAATTGACCACTTAGAGGTATTCCCAAATGTCCAGTAAGTTGGGCTGCACATGACTTAAAGACTCTGCTGTCTGCTGAATCATTCTTGATTACACCAGTGAGAGGATACAGTGGTTATCTTACTAAACAAGGGATTTTGGCTGGTTCCTTTTACGATGATTTAAGACGAAGTGCTCCTGTACTGGTTTCCGCAGTCTACTGTACAACTGAGATTGTCAAGACTGTATAAGATGCTGAAAAAGTTGTTTAGATTTTGGTCAAACACCAGTTTCTGAGAGATACAGTTTTACAGTACTGTACTTTCTGTATTTCCAAGGATGTCTGCTCATAATATTAGAAAATCTGAAGTGTGATGATGTTAGTCATGACTGTTTCTTTAGGCATTTGGCAAAATACACATACGTATAACAGCTACTTTTGACATTATTGAATGTTTACATATATACAATCTGTATACTGAGATTATAAACATGTAAGGTAAAAAAAAAAAAAGATATAATCTTTGTTTGTTTGCCGTTTGTGTCAAATAGTTGCCTTTCAAAGCTTGAAATCCTGTCACAAAAAAAAATCCTATATTTCTTACTCCTGCATGCTAATCTCTACTACAGTATGTTGTTTTTCCCTTACATGTGGAAAGTAAAGAACACAAGGTTCATGCATACAGCGTACAAGTTTACATCAGCTGGGCTGTCCGTGAGGCACGTTCCCAGTTCCACTCTGGTCTGACTCAGGACTGCAGTAAACCAGAGAAAAACCTCTCTTACACAGGACTGGCAAATGGACTGCAGCTGGGATTCTAGGTCACCATGCGGAACAGCCTTGTCACATCTGGGCTAATTATTCTCTGTCAAATGTTATGATTTTGGTTGTTCATAAAATCCATAAAATACAAGTCAACAAAAAAGAAAGAAAAAGAAAAGACTGTTTTTTTCCTTTCCACATGACAGGAGGTTATCACCGGCATCTCTGTTGATCTTTCAAATTGTCTGAAGAGCAGATGAATGTGCAGTGACTCAGTGATGCTGAGTTCCTATAAAATCCAAAGTAAACAGTTCTGATGTGACCCCAGGAAAACACTGCTGCTAGATGGATGTCTCCCATAGCTGGAGAGGGGGAAAATAAACACAAACACACATTGAACACCAAGATAAAACAGGCTGTCACCCAGACAGTGCAAGGAGCTTGTTTGGGGAACTGCATCTGCATCACTTGGGTCACCAAATCTCCTCCCAGCCTCTGGTGGGTATCTGTTCACCAAGTGAGCAGACAGGCTTCAGCATTTCAGCACAACTTGCAGTCAGCATAGTCAGCCCATGGCTGGGAGTTCAGTTTTCTTTTTGAAAGAGAAATACCAGTGTAGCATCAAACTTGTACTAGCCAACTTATACTTTAGAGTTACACTAGTATTAGTGTAGAGATAACTTCCCATTTTCATCTGCCTAACCCTGCCCAGAGCAACATGACTTCCTGCTGTGGGTTTGAGCTGCTGCCAAAGCAGCTCCAGGGCTGAGATACATCAGTACAGCCCAGGCTCCAAGCTGCCTTGGAAGACCCTGTGCTGCACCTCCCACAACCTTCTGCCCCAAGCAGCACTGGGGGAGCAGCTTGCAGGTTCCCTTAGCAGCACTCCATTCCTTTTTTCTTGAAAAAAAAAGGACAGAGAACAGTGATGAGAATCTCCTCAGCATCAGCAACATGAACCAAGGGTATTCCAAGTAAAGCTCCTAAAGCAAATTTCAGACTTTTTTGCTTATTCAAATACCTGCTATGTCTGAATTGACACAAAGGAAATAAAAGCCTTTTGGAGCAGCTGGAAATCTCTCTGTATGAGGCATAACTATCCACTACACATTCCAGCAGCTCCTGGTCAGTCTAGGAGGGCCAGGCTGGGCTCAGATTACACAGCAGCGAAGTCCCTCCAGGTCTGCAAGCACTCCATATGCTGCATAACTGGAAATTTTTACATTTCCATAAAGCTGGAAAGCAGCTATCCTCACAGCCTGAATGAGAGCTGCTGGGAGAAGGGGTAAGAAAGGAGAGCCAGACACACCACTTACTCCAGGGTTGCCTGTGCTCTGCAGCCCAAAGGCTATCCAGGACACATTTTCAGCTTAAAATAAGAAATCTGGGCTTCAAGGCAGCTTTAAGAGCAACCTGAAAAGCTGCCTGTACACAGCTGTCAAGGTCTTCATCACTGCCAGAGGCTCAGCAGCTTCAGAACTTCAGGGTGCAAAGGAAATGCCATTCCAGCTCTCCTTGTTGGTCAAAGGTGTTAATCTGCCACAGTTTCCTTTAGATAAACTATCAGTAAATCAAGTCACTGGTGAAAAGCAGAGAGAAGAGGAACACATACCCTGGCACTTTGCCTGTTGACTTTTTTCTCTTCATCAGGAAGTGGTGGCATCGGGTAAGGGTATTTTCTGCTGGAAGCAATAGATCCAGTGGATGAAGACGGAGACTTTGCAGGAGACAGTGTCCTGAGATGTTGAAACACATAAAATAAATGTGATGTCTTTGCATTCTAGCACTGCAACAGCAACTGCCATTACTCTGAAGCTTGGTTCAGAGCCAAGAATATAGCTTATTATTAGCTCAATATCAGGGGGATAAAATTGATTGATCAGTAGTCTTATAATTTCATTTTATGAATAAAGGTATTTAGAGATTTCAGGAACACTAGAAGAAAAAAATTTGCTACTTCTTATTAGAATTGTATAACAAAAATTACTTCTTAAACTGTTTTATATGGTACTGTAATTAATCATTATAAAATTATTAAAAATAATTTTAAATCTGCAATTGAATAAATACAGAACTAAAAACATAAAGCCTAAATAGAAACTGTAATTGTATAAATACAAGCTAAACAAATGTCTTCTCCCAGTGACTAAATGGCAATTATGTGTCTTTATGCATATCTTACACATCTCCTAAATTGATACAAACATAGCAAATAAATCTATTATTTTTGTAACATTAATTTACACAAATGCATGCATTTGGAGGCCAAACTGTTAGTTGTGAAGTAACAAAGGCATATACAAAGTGCTAATAACAAATTGTTATACATGCAAGCATCATACAGTGCATATTGTTCCAGCCAAAGAAAGAGTCTGATGAGAATATACAAAAATGGACTGATTAGTCAACGGCAATCAGCATTTCTGTACAAGGTGAGTAGAGTAAGCAGGAGCAAGTAAATGTTTGTATCACATGAAAGGCATTCTTTTCATGTCAATAAGGCAACAGCACATTATTGACTGAAATTTTATACCCAAGAAAAACTCTTATGCTTCTGTTTTGAGATTCTGCACTTTTCCCACTTGAGAGGTTCCTATTAGGCTCTAAATCTGGGCAGAGTAAAATGAAAAAAAGGCCTCAAAGTAGAAAAATTGAGCTATCCTGGCCCCCTTGTTCTCTTGTGCAGGCCACGGGCATTCACCACAGGAGGCCGCTTAATACTGCAAGCATATCACTCAGCCCTCTCTGAGCACTGCTATCTAGTATCTTCTGAGTTCATATGTCCCTGAATATGGAAACTTTCCATAATAATAAGTGAAATTTATTTACCTTTCAATAACTGTTCTTTTATTTTGGACTATTGTATCATTTTGTTGTGTCTCTAGCTCCCTACAACAGCAGATTCTCTTGCCTCCCATACAAACAATGACTGATGGTAGCCACAAGCAACAGGGTGTCGATGAAAATTATATGATGAGAGCTCTCAACTCTGGCTCATGATCCTCTAATGCCTCACATGGTAGCCTCTAAGTTCAACAGCAATTAAGGGATTAGCATTGGTACAATTATCCAAACATGGAAGCATCCAAACATCTTCAGTACCTGCACATTGGTCACCCATTAAGATGAACTGGACATACATGAATGTTTTCAGGAAGAAAAACCCTGAAACAGCTACAGCAGTATAAAACAAGGTTTGTGTATGTCCGACATCATGGATCTGGGCACCAAACTGTGCATGCAAGAAAACAGGTTAATTAAAAAAAAAAAATTTCAAGGAAAGGTTGTCAACAGTGCCCTGATGTTCACTATCCATACAAGTCCTCTCATCTCATTCCCCACTTGGACTATCACTAATAAACTATTTGTGGATCTAAAATGAAGAATATAAGGAGAAGAGGGAGAGGGGAAAGTAAGGAGAGCAGATTTTACATATTATCAGTAATCCAATTATTCAGAAATTTTACCCCATTGCTGCAGTAGAATTTTAAATTTTCATTTTAAAATTTGCAAGAATGCACATGGAGATCAGAAACAAGGAACTGGGCCAGTGGAATCTGACTTGGCAAGCCCTATCAGAAAGCTGTTTACAAGGTAGCACAGCCAGGGGGGTGGCACAGAATGAAGGCATCTCCCATCTCTTTCACCACACCAGGCACGACACCTCCAACACACCACAGGCTCTTCACATTTAAGAGAAGGCCACAGTGAGAGGAAAAGCCACAACCAATCTTCCTGTCCATCCATCTGAGCAGGTGATCCTGGAAGGAGTAATAATCCCCCGAAGGATGTGGCATCTTGAATATTTTCCCTGCACAAGCAAGGATGTGGCATCTTGAATATTTTCCCTGATCCTCTGACCAAGATCCCGAACTCATCCTTTCAGCCAGGAAGCTTTGCACCATAGCTCAAACACAATGCTGCCTTTTCCAAAGATTTTGAAGGCCAAGCCTCCAGAGTAGCTGCCTACACATCCTTTTTCTCAAATCCCCTTTGTACTGCCTGATCATCTGCAGTTTGCACATCTGACTGATGTGAGCTTTGCTGCCCAGCTGCAACACTGCAGCCAACACATCAAGAATGCAGTTGCACACTTACAGAAATGACCTTGCCCTCCCCTCACAGGGCCTCACCACTTATTTTTGTTATAGAGTTATGTGCTGATTTTTGTCATCTTTAGTGCCAGCCACTGAGACTGTGAGCATACACAACTCAGCATATGCTCACAGATCTTACAGTGCATCTTCTGTGATAAACAACATTGTTTGAGGTGGTTTTGATCACCCTTCAGGTTGTGCCCTGCAATTGTGTATGTGCTGTGTATCCCAGATTTACATATACTTTAAATGAGAAAGGTCATGTCTGGCTCTTTCTCATTTACAGGATGGAGAGACAGCATTCAGGGACACTTGCAGGTAATGCTGGGGTTACAGGTAGGAAAACTTGGCAGTTTTGGTCAAGGGTGGGATCCACTTAGTTTTCACTAGGGTTTCAGTTCTCCTGCAATCAAATCCATTAGCTTTCATGCCAAATGTTGCTTCCAGCTGAAACTTTCACAAGAAACCAGTACACACCACGACAGAGATTTTACTGCCAACCCCAAATGAAGCCATGCACCTCACCTGCAAAAATTCTAATTTTTGAACAGAAAGCAAGATAGAGTAGCCATTTTGTGTCTTTCTGTCCTGAAAGCTAAAACTAAGAGTGTATGGAGACCATTCTGTGATTCACAACAAACACTGTGGCAGCAAGAAGACATCTGGAAGCAGTCCCTGCAGCCTTGGGCCTACCTGCTCCCCTCTTGTCCCTAAACAGCAAATGTTGGCTCACAATAAACTGTGCAAAATGTGTCACCTGAACTACAACTAAACATTTTTCAATTTTGAGTGTCATTTTAGCTGAACTCAAGGCAGGAGGCCCTGACAGATCTGAACTGTTCTTGAACTGTGAGTGATTCTCTTTTGCAGACTGAAATAATGTAATGAAATCCAATTAACATTCAACCTGGTGAAAGCATTGCAAGCCCAAATACAGACCCTATCAGTCTAATCTGACCTTTGCTGCTGTGGATACAGCTCTTTGTATGACATCATCAGCCTAGATCCTACATTAGGATCTTATAAAAACACTGGTGTGGCTAAACATTTTAAAGTAAGTTCCTTTTTAAAGCCACAGATGTGCACACAAGTCCTCAGAAAGAGCAGCAGCAGAGGGGAGAGAAGGCTCATGGAGGGGCTGCAGAACAGATAATGGTTGTGGCTTGAGCTGTCACTTGGAGCAGTGAACTGTGCCTCAGAAGCAGGCACTCACATGCTTCAATGAACCCTTCTCCCTAACTCTTGAAGCAAAACCCTGATCCTGACATCAGAAGGCATTTTTTCATTATCTACCATTTTCATTAATACCAACAATAACAGTATTTTGCTTTGGTAATACAGAAAAGGCTTGCTAGTTTGTTTTTTATTTTAAGCACAATCTAGAGCTGTCTCAGCAAGAGCAGCTTGCCAAGGGCTGGTCGTAGCTCTGGCCCCAGCTTTCATTACCTTTTTCATTACCTTCACAAAAGAAGGTAATGAAATGGTCAACTAAAGAGGAACTGAGAAAAAGTCAAGGACACAAAAGAGCATTAGAAATAGGAGGGAAATGACAGCCTACTGTCTCCTCATTCCATGCTCCTTCTTGATGCCCTTCTGATTTAGGATGGCCCTTTTCCTTCTGGTTATGTGCTCTGGGTCTCCATCTAAAAAACCTTTTGTTTGTTACTTTTGTGTTTAAGTAACTCATAAAACATAACATATTGTAAATACTTGAAATAAATCAAATGTAGGTAGCTCAACACTTTAGAAGGTGCCTTCTAGACTTTTTTCTTTATAATTATCTACAGAAATACCATGTTTGGGGTTTCTGGCAGTTTTTTTTTTTTCTGATTCCATCACGGCTCCATCAAGTCTTTTAGATTCAGTGAGAATTCTGAGTAATCCTTAACCATATTTCAGAAGGTCAGCCTGTGCAGTGGACACTGTAATTGTCAGTAACAAGAATAATCAGTAGTAGCATATTCATAAAATAATGTCCCTTACAGCAAAGCTAAATTCAGGGAGAGGCTTCCTGCCTGATTTTATTGCTGAGGTTATGTGGTTATAGCCTGGCACACAAAATTAAAATCTAGACTAGACTTTAAGCAGGAAAATGAGAGTTTCCTTCACAGATCATATCTTCTTACAGATGGGAATCCCACACTAGGGAGTTTTCTGATGCCAGAGACACCAGCTACTATTATTACTATCATTATAAAAAGTAATTATATGAAATCCCCATCAGACTTGTAGACTAGAAAAAAATTACTAGGAAATCAGGTGTTAGAGATACAAATTATGATTTATATAGGGTATTTTAAGTAGATGGAGAAAATCTGGGTGATGACTAATATCTCTATTTTCTGAAAATCTGCAACTTTCCTAGAAGGCTTTTTTGTCATATTTCCTAACTCAATTTCAACTCTTCCTACAACAGCACCAGTCATCAACATATTATTCCTAAAACTACATGGAAACAAGCACAACAGCAGTATTACTTTCGGGACACATTTAAAAGGACAGAGAAATCAAAGATGATTAGTAACATGAATATTACTCAGCTAAATATCTGCTGTAAATGTCTTATCCTGGCACTCTCACTAATAAAGTACAGTACCAGCCGGACAGTGTGACTTCAGCTCGATGTTCTAGTTTAACAAGTAAGATCTGTTTCATTCTGTTTGGGAATAACTTCACAGACCCAGGCTCAAAACCCAGCCACAAGATGTTCTGACACACCATTCTTAGGAACAGTCTTTTCCTGCCCATGCTATCATTAAGCAAAATTGCACCTGATTTTTGTGGAGAAACTGTTAGTTCAACCTCTTGTAAACCCACAGCAACTCATCTCAGGAGATCTGATCTTTTGCCTTCCATAATGTGTCTGAAGAATACTTCCCCATGATTACCTCATTTAATTAGGACAATTCAGATTTCTAAATTTATTCTAGTTGCTCTCTGATTTCTAAGGGGAATGGCTGCAGGCAGTGATTAGTAAGCTTCTGTGGTGCAAAAAATTTGATTTATGCTATGTCTCTGCTGATATATAGCCTTTAAAACTCACATGGGTCAGCTTAATCCTCATCTACGTGCCAAAAATGCTTGGTTTATCTCAAATACAATTAAAAATGTGACTCATTGTTGTAACAGCTGAATACCCTCAGGGGCAGGGCATACTCCCATCAATTTAATCTAGTTACTAAATAAAAATATACTGATACTAAAAAATGAAAACCAAACTATGAGTATGCAGATTTTTAACCCTGTTTATCTAAACCATTTAAAGAAACGTGTATTAAAATAGTGCTATCTTCATATTCCATCAATGTGTTTGTTTATGGCTACCACAGGGCTTCTGATGCAAAAACCCTGAAAGACAGCTATGGGGTTATATTATGGTGAGCAGCTCTTGTCCTTGCCTGAACAATAAAGGTCAAGAGGCTATTTTTAGCAAAGGTTTTGGTAATAAAGCACACCTCAATTCTTATGTGAGTTTGCCTAATTTCAGCTTCCAGTGACCTCTGGTCATTATCAGTCTTAGTTGGCAAATCTAAAGGACCTCCCACACACACAGATTTTGCTCCATATGCAGTGATGTGGACCTCATGATCAGGTAAGTGTTCAGCTGCTCCCTTAAACTGCACTGCCTGAGGCTCTCTAGAAAGAACTGGGCTTAGATCTCCTCAGTTCTAGAACGTGCTTGCTGAACTGCAGGCACCAGACCTGGACCCTGTATGCCAGCACTGAAACAACCAGACTCACAGTACTCCCTGCCAGAATGCCCAGGTACCAAGAGACTTGTCTGATACCAACTGGCACTATCAAATCAACCTCCTGTAAGCCCTGGATTCTTGCATTAGGGAACTCTTCTCCCTTTTCAGGACTGAGGGCTGAACGGCTAAAGTTTACTCATTTTTCCGGTTTGTTCCCTGGAAACCTTTCCTGCAGCTTACTCTGTCTGTGATTTATGAGGTGTTGAAAACAAACAGAAAGGGTTTTAAAAAGTAATCATTTTATGGTGTTTTAAGACTTTGGGACATTTTTAGTTCTAAAAATGACTACATTCTTACCCTGCCATTTAATGTCTGCCATTGTTACTACTGGAATAAAAGTTTTTCATTAGTACCCTGTGATACAACTCCCATCATATTTTTTTTCCAAATGCACACTGCACACATTTAGCATATGTTTCTGTCCTGTTGCACTTTTATTAGGTCTACTTTTGTAGCAAAACTATTAAGATTCTATTTACTTGTTCTTACCATCCTTCACTGTTTTGGCTGAAGGTTTTGCTTATTATTCTTTTCATTTGTGTTTCTGTAACTATCTTCATTTTTTATATGTCAGCTTACAGGTTCATGGATTTTGTTCATGCATTTGTCATAAGTTGTCTTCCATTCTCTCCTATGCTGGCTCATTTTTTCAGCTGATGCAGAGATCTGTATCAGCTGTGGGACTGTGTCTTTTGGGAATATACCGCAACATTCTCAGTCTCTTGATTCATGTCCAACAGGGGCCCAGCCTGATGCATGGTTTTTCTCTGTAACTTGGAATATACCAGATAATGCATACTCTTCCCTTTCAAAAGCAAGTTATATTTTTGGTTGAACCCTACCTCACTTGTAACAGATTAATTAGCAGTTTGACAATTAGAGCACAGAGTATATTCTCGCAAATTTAGTTTTCCAATTAAAATATATAAATTATTTCATTACAGGTTGAGGGTAAAATACCACTACCTTTTAGTCTTTTTTAATTTAAATTTTAGTATGCACTATATAAGACAGTAGGTAGAGCCAGTGTGTAATGAAACTACTTGCTTCAGTAAATTAAAATTCTATTTAAGTTAACAGTATTTTATTAGTGATAAATATGTCTCATGCCCATAAAACACTATTCGGCATAAAATGATGAGAAAGCTACTACAAGCTATAGATGATGGTGGGAACGCATGCACTACACATACCCTTTTCAATGGCTTCATTAAAACATTCAGAAAAAGAATTGTAAATTGCACATGAAGCCAAAAACAGACATCAAAATGCAGCAAAAGAAGAGGGGCCCTTTGCACCTAAGTAACTTGTATTGATTTATACAAGATAAGAGTCCCAAGATATTTGTATATGCTGGAACAGCTCTAAAAAATGAGAATTATAGAATTAATTTACAAAATACCTAAAGTATGGTCCTTCTGTGTTTTTATTCACATCTTCTACCCACTTAGCTACATTATATTCTCTTTTGAACCATGGGTTTAAATACCTGCAGAAAGCAATGGAAGGAACAGAGAAAGCAGAAGAACAAGAATAGAAAATCTGAGAACACACAGCACAAGCTTAGCAAGGATGTCTTCATCCCCAAAATGCAAGTGAATATGGCAAATCAATCAGTATGGATTTGGGTGAGGACTAGGCAATGTGTACAACTGCATGAGAAAATCTGACCTACGACAAGACTCATATGTTTGATTAATCTGGAAACTCTTTGGGATACATCATTCATTTAGTGTCTTAAGGGTAAAATTCACTCCTATGCAGAGGGCCAGCATTAAGCTCATGGTTTGAACTCCCTCATGATGTCAAAATAAGGATGAAGGGGCATTTTGGCTTCAGTCATGACGTTTGCTTGCCAAAGACACACTTTTGCATCCATCTAGATAAATTGCAAGATGATGGCTAAAAGACCACAGAATCTTGGGCTTGACCCTTTTTACAGGAATGAATTTCAGCCTCATCATGTTAAAAGGTTTGAATTTTTTGCCAGTATAGAGACAATTTTTACACTTACAGGCAAACAACCCTCTGATTTTTCAAGGTTCATTTAGTTTGGCTTTAATGGAGGTAGGCTGCAGAGTTATCTCACATTTTACAGAAGCAATATTGACATCAAAACCACATTTTTTAGAAAAAAAAGTCTGAGTTGTCTACTCATATTAGTTACATGAAAAATTATGAAATAAAGATGATATTTAATTATCTGACAACAAATTACTAAGGAAGAAGAAAACTTTTGTAACAAATTTTTCCCAATAACAAGATAGGCAAATTCCTCCCCTTCTGTCATGTCAGCAAAAAAGGCAGATGCAGAAAATAGGAGTCTGCCTGGACCAATTTAAAGCTTGTTCATGTTACATATAAATGGCAACAATCAAATTATTATTTGTGATCATCATCTTTATACAATAGAAACTAGCACAATGAAATAGGAAACAAATTTTAACCAAGGAAAATGGGAAAGAAAATTCATCTTTAAGTTATTTTTGATACTTCTGGTCCAGTTCTTGCCACCCTTATTTATGGGAGTGACTCCAATGACCTCACACATGGGAACAGGCCTTGCAAGTTACTGCTCAGATGAATAAAAGTTGGGCCAAATCATGTCATTCAACCCCCTCCATATTTCAAACAACAATGACAACAAAAGCAGCAGCACTTTTTCAACTTCTTTTGCTCCTTTTTTGCTCTGGAACGTCTCCTCCCCGCCCCGCGCAAGCACAGCCACAGCTCTCAGAAAGGACTCGCCCTCAGCCACAAGTGCTTCTAAGAAGCTTCCTCAGCTCGCTTATCTATCAGGAATCGGGAGTGCTTTATGCTTTCCAGCTTGGGGTCCAGAGAAAGAAAACATCAAAAGTGGTAGTGCAGCAGAACAGATGAACCACAAGTGAAGCAACAGGCTGATGCCAGCATCACCAGGAACTAGTAAACTTCTGCTTTAGCTTTAATTGTACATTTTCTTGTACTTGCTGCAATACTTTAAACTTGCCCTTTTTCAGTTGAAAGGGTCTTTTGGTAACCATGAAACACTCCCAATCTGGCTTCCTGTATTAGAAAACAATGTAAGGTGCTATCAAAGCATGCAATTGTTGCACAAACATGTTGCAGGGTTTCCTGGGTCTGGGTGTATTACAGACCATCATTCACCACCCCGATCCACCCGTTACAAAAAGATTAAACTCGAGTTACTGCAGACCGCTACATGACACCATTGGAAAGCCCCCAGGCTGATCTTTCTGGCCACATGTCCATTAGTAATGGCCAGAATGCACACTTCCTTTGAGTGAGGAATTCTGCTTTGAAATAAGGTGTCTTACGCATAAGCCCAGAGCTAGACCGACAGCTCGACTCGGCTCGTAGCGCAACATGCAACAAGGCAAAAGACCTGGGCTCAAGAGTACTGGTACTCCTCAGGCTGGCGAGGAGGAAGGGTAGCTAGCGCTGCATCAGCAGGAGCACCTCCAAGCAGTCACGGTGTTTTGCCACAGAGAAACTATCGGATACTAGGGAAGGGACTTGTCACGGGACAAAATGGCAGCCCAGAATGCAGGGGCAGGTGAGACTGACCTGTGATCCCGACTCCCTGTTTGGGGGTGGTCAGAACCCCCTGGGCTTATGCCTTGGGCAGGGATTTGGTGGGCGAGAGAAAGCCCAGGCTCAGATGCATGGGTTACCCGGCTGCAAAAAGACAATATATAATAGAAAGTCTAAACCAAAGACGTTCGTATCATGTATTACAACGAGGAAGGAAAAGCAGTGCAAATTAACCAAGGTCTGAATTGCTGGGACCTGTTTTAACACAAGCTCCCAATTAAACTGTCAACTTATTCAGAAAACTGTCATCATTCCTGGATAATTCTAATGGATTTTAATAGAGAGCTATTTATCAGGCCATTTCATCAGCCACGTTTCTGAAAAAGCATTTGGCCTGTTGGCATTCCTTCCACATGTAATGAACCATCTGCCTTTAGTAAAGAATAATTATTTTGTTATCAAACATCCAAAAACAATTAAAAATGTCTCAAAATATCTTTAGCAGTCTCCTCAGAGCTCTATGCTTAGCATAAGCTTTGTTCATGTACGCTAGGTCCAAGGGTCACACAAAGGTGTGAGCAGGACATTTTTCAGGAGCTGAAACCCTGTCAGTGCTGCTCGTGAGGGCTGCAGACTTTAAACCTTGCTCAGTCCTTAAGAAATTTTGTTTAAATGATTAATGGCACAATTCTATTTGATTTTTGGCTGTATACAAAAAACAACCCGTGCATAATGTGTGCAGTTACTGCAGACCATGCATACAAGTATCTTTGAAGGGAACCACACTAGTGTGGTTTTTAAAAAAACTGAATTCTGCACAAGGCATGGCATTAATAAACACAATTTTATAATGGTTAACTACAGTCTGCTAATTACAGGAGACCAACACTGTTATCCTTTTTCTTCCATATCAACAAGTATGCTTTATTGGATTCCTAAGGGCCATACAAGCTGACTTTCTAAATACTGCTTCAGAACAGATTTCAATATTATTCTGTACTTCCCAGACAAGGTAGAAAGGTAAATTGGTCTGGGAAAAGCCTCCATGTATTCTGCAGCATCCCCAAAGCAGCTGGTGTTGTTTTGGTTTATTTTTTTCCTAAATGATGAAATGCTGGTCACAGTTACATCATTCTCAGTCCATTTTCTCTCCTTGCAAAAGAAGCTGTCCCTCTAACCAGAGAGCTAATTGCCCTCTAATAGCCCTGGCAGTTCTCTCCATTCCCCACTGAACTGACACAGCCTGTGGATCATTCAGTGGGAGCTCTCTCTCCAGCTGGTGACAGGACTGCCCAGGAGACTTGGACAAGCCATTCAGGCCTGTGCAGTCCAGGACAGACCCAACCAGAGAAAAGGTATTTTCCTGCCTGGCAGGCCTATCCCAGTAACACACACACTGTGCTTTATCCCCAAAAGGTTGCTGCATGGCCCTTGGGAAGTACAAGCCTCCTCCCTGTAGCATCAGGGCTGCTGCTGGGTTGAGACACCACCATAACAAGCAGCAAAAAGGAAAGCAGAGAATTAGGTGGAAATTCAGGGGCATCTTTAAAAGTGAAACAAATATACAGGGAAAAATATTTCCAACTCACAATATCTCTGTTTGTCTGCTTATTTAATGTTTCAAAGTTCTCAGAGCAAATCTCATTTGTATTTTTGGCAGTTCGGCCAGACTAATTTTGATTTTATCAAACTATCTCATGCAAGGAGGAAAGAAAATGAGCAAAATAACATTTCAGTAAGAGTTTATCAGCACAAAGAGTACAGAGACTCTTGAGATAAACTCCTCCAAGGGCTAAAATTTCTGATTCCATGATGCCATTTTGACCATGCAATGTTATAATTGCAATGTGCATCGAAGTACTGTTTTTGTAATTTGTAGCATAGGGTTTTCTCTTTCTGAGCCTACTCACCTTAAGACAGTGCACTGCAGGTGAAAGAAAAGTTTCAGAACAAACTCAAAATCCCCAAACCAAAGAAAATGGGGCCCAGAGAGCAGTTAGCATTATTAGCTTCCAGCAGGGTTGCTATCAAGCCTATTTGCCCATCAAGGTGCAAAGTTAGTAGTCATGATATGGGGAAGGTCACTGTCACTACCACCATGGCCAAAGAAAGGGCCATTCATTTTGAGTGTAAGTGCTGTAAGAGTAGGCCAGTGCTTTTGACAAGCCCAGAGGTTTCCAGCCACTCACCACTCATTCACAAGAGGGGCCTGAACCAACAGGCTTAAGTACATAAGAAAGGCTCTTCCTGTGTGGGGAGCATTGCAACGTGGGCTGTTTAGGAAATGTAACCAATAAATCAATAAGCCAGCAACTGTCAGCTGTAGAGGAAAAGTCTGGGGATCAGTCACTTGGTAGAGACTTTAATTACCCTTTTATCACAGGGTTTAGTCAAGACTGGCTGTTTCAGGCTTACAATGGCAAACTTCAATGTACTCTCAAAGCAGACAGATACCTCTCCTACAACCTCCAGGAAAGTATGCAGAGATACAAATCTCTGACTCTGCAATGGCCCAACCCAAGGTGGAGACAAGGGTAGGAAACAGTCAGGTTATCAGAAACTCAGTACTGAACCAGGATACACTCAGCAATGGCAGTTTACTGTAGACAAAAGCCTGCAGTGATGGTGCAGGCTGCCACCATCATTGGGAATTGCTATGGGAACGACTGTGAGGAAGCCTACATGAAAAAAGAAAATTAATAGTTAATTTTTAAAGAATACATTAAAAGAGGTTGAAATACATTAGCCAAACCATTTACCAGATTATCAGTCAGCAATCAGAATGGGCCACAGAGCAAAAATGCAGCTGTCTACTTTTCAGTATTCTTAATTTCCATCTACAAAACATAAATATGAAAACTCTACTTTTGGCTTTGCTTTTTTAAATTCAGACTTACTCAGTTGAATTAGACCGTGGCCTAAATCTTTTGCCTCTGACTTTCTTTCTGTTTCCTCCTATATTACCTGAAAGAAATCAAAGGACAAAGACAGTAAAACAACTTGAAACTCACCTGCCCCATGCCAAACTGCATATTCTTTTTGCATCCATAGCAAAAGAGCTGCTACCTTTAACTTTACGCCATTAACCTTTAACTTTAACCATTTAAATCTCACAGGTCTGTTCCACTTGATTTACCTCAGACACTTAGGTTACCTTTCTCTACTTTTTGCTGCAACTGTACAGAGCAAAGAGCTCCTTTATTTCAGCTGTTATTTGACAAATTCCCTACACTTCAAGAAAAACGCCTAACACTGCCTGATAAAATCACTGAAGCTGGCAATAGTGAATAGATTTCTTTCTCTTTTTCATGTTAGCTCACACTGGAGGGAGAAATTAAATGTAATTTCTTTGTGACAAAGTACTGTGCAAAAAAGGCACTTGTAGGGTGCTGCTAAATCCTAATTCCAAGTTAATAACAATTAGCACAATTTTAAGGAGTCATGCTGCTGTCCTAAGATCAGCTAAACTTCCAGCAGAGCACCAGTGGTCCAGAAGCTGGTTTCCACTGTGGCCAGCACAGTGGTTCACACTTACCTTGCCAAGAATTACTCCTAGGCCTCCCATTTTCACAAATGTCTGAAATATGTTTTGTGTCTGGGATCCTTTCACTCCAGGAATGAGATAATCCATTTGACCTGGAATAGGAGGGCTCAGATGCAGTTATTGTTAAGGGTATTGGCTCACATCAATGTTAGCTCAGTGGTTTGGTCACATTCCCGAGGCCAGTGACAAAACACAGCCTAAGGTCTGTCTGCACTAGCAGAGCATCCAGGATTTCTGGTTAAACTCTGCAGTTACACCTTGCAGCTGTCCCTGCAGTGGCTCCATGTGCCCACATTCAAGAGCCAGGCATCAGCACTGCTTTCTCACTCGTCTGCTGTGGAATGCACAAACAGCGGCGCACACCAGATTTCCTTTGGATTTGCAGCTCTGCCTCAGTTCCTAGATGGAAGATGCCCTTACTACTGTGCTCATTTCAAGGCTTTTTCATCTCACATTCAAGCACATCCCACCTGCAGGCTGCCCACTCCCTCCTTATGCTGCTGCAGGAAAGCCAGGACAGCTTCCCTCAACCCACTGCTAGCAGTCTCAGGGGCTCAGGAGTTTGTGACGAGCATTCTTCCTCCCACCCAGAGCTGGTAGTGCCAAGGGAGAGGTAACTCTGCCTCATTTTTGCTAATTTTGAACGTTTATATTTTATCAGCCAATTGCTGCAGTATATACTTCTAATGCTAAACTCAAAGCCAAAGATAGTCTTTTTATCTAGATGCTTGGTGCAAACTGTTTTTTCTTTCCTATTGCACGCCTTTTAATGGCCAGAGATGTATGTGGTGATGTCCAACATGTGGGGTTTTGCCACAGGCTGCCTCTTGTTGAACTAGAGCTGCTGCTCAGCTGTTTGCCACGAGATCTACAATTGTTTCCAAAAGAGAAGAGGAAGTTGAAAAATCCACAATAGACATATTACAAAGTCTTGCTTAAAAGGACTGCTTTTGTAGTTTTTAAGTCTGGATAGTTGCATTTTTTAGTCTCTGATTTCCTTGGGAGCATCTGAGAGATGCTCTTCAATTTCCAGAAGCTCAGGCTAATCACAGCCACACTGAAGTGAGCCCAGGGTTTCATTAATTCAAACTTAATCACATCATGAAAGGTCTGAGAAACAACAGATCCACTGACAGATTTTCAAACACTTCCTCCTCCTCCTCAAGGTCACTTTCAGGTTCAGGAACGTCTTGCTATATAATGGTTTTGGTGTTTGCTATTTCATAATAGCAAGAGTTATCATAAAGCTATGTCTTAATCCGTGAACATCCTCTGAATACCAGCTAACATTCCATAGTGTTTTCCAGCATGGAGAAGCCCAGCCACTCTAACATCTCCCAAGAGATGCCATCCATACCAGCACACAGAGCAAACCAAAACCAGCTTGGAAGGTAGGAGGTAGCACTCTGGGAATTCAAATGGAAGGACTATGTCAGCTGTATCACAATGTTAATGGAATATTTGTCAGACTTACTTTTCCAGACTTGACAGTGGCACAACATACCTGAATTGGTGGTGGGAACAACAAAACTCTCTAGTACAGACAGACCTTAGAAACCATTAGCTTTTTGGAACAAATACTAAAGAGAGACACATGAAATAAATGAAGTATGAAAAGAAACACAGATACTGCATGAAAGAAGAAACACATTAAATTACAGTATTTAAAAATAACTTTTTTTTAAACTAGTATTTAAACTTGATAGACAAAACTATGAAAACTTGCTTTCCCAAGACTTTGTTTCAAAATTTTAATCAAATTTAAAAAGATTCTCTAACACAAACAGTGCATCATTTAAGATTAATGCTTGCTTCCTGAAAAAAATAAACAACCCACACATCCAAAAAGCTGAATTTAAAAATTAGAGATAATTAAGTAATCACTACTGGAGTTTCCCTTATAACATAATCATTCATTAACAAACTGAATGAAGTGGTATATAAGATCAAGCTGCTATACCAAAATAGCAAATGTCACTACATATGTGTCCCTTCCATACATTTCTCTTTACTTTAAGTGAAATAATAGCAAAGAAAATGGCTTCATCAACTGCACAGTTGTAGGCTGCTAAGTGGGAAAAGAATTGAGAATTGCAGTTTTCCTGTGAAGCACTTCATGACTGTCAATTCCTATAGGACACAGCGCTTCTCATAAATTCTTTTATAGTGCTAGCTAGACATTTTCATATAAAGAATCTTTAACTGCAGAGGAACAGTAAGCATCATGATCTTAGCAATTACAAATGGCTCTCAATGCTTTCAAATGAATCTTCCCTTTTAAAATGTTGAATTTTTTAGGCAACTGAAACAATAACGGAATTAGTGAAATCTGATCAAGGGCAAAATCTATTTCTCTTTAATCTAATGGCAGCAAGCAGAAAAATGCAGAAAGTCTTTGTAGAATTATTTTCTAAGATAACACTTGGTGACCATTTAGTATACTACTCTAGTAAGTGAATAAAATGCAATCAGTATCATCTTTAATATGAGACAGCAGAAGTCTAAGTCAACATACTGGATTAATGACACTGACAAATAAAGATATAAAAATAACATTTATATTTAACATTTTATGTTTATAACTATTATTCAAGAAAGACAATGCTCCTTTTCTTTGATTACATGACACTGATTTAAAAAGTTGTTGGTGTTTTACTTAATTTTTTTTTCAGCCACCAATTATTATTACAGTCTACTTGAAATCAATTCTCAAGCAGGGATATTATGAAAACTTTATTAAACAAAAATTGGTTTACAATGCAAAAAATTTTTATTCTGGCCTAATCATACTAATTAGCAACTAGGGCACAGGAGAAAAATCAGTAATCAAAGCAAAAAGGATGCTATTTCAAACACTCCACAAAGAAAGAAGAAAGAGTCAAACCTGCTGCAAAACAATGAAATGTTCTGACTAATGGAATAATGGGTGATGGAACAGGTAGAAATCTGAAAATGCGACAGAAAAGCAGACCTCTTCTTAGAACTAGATGCAGAGTTTGTGCTGACTCCAGGAGGCATGTCGCTATAAAAAGAGTCGGCCTCTCCCGGCTTTTTTACATAATCTCCCTGGGGTATTTGTCTGAAGTGTAATAAACATTGTAGAGTCAGAAAACATGACAGGAACTAGAATGCACACAAACATGCATGAACATTAGTTTAAAAGAAAGAGGCAAGGATAGCAATCCTTGAGAAAACCTGTTAACCACACACGATAAAGCTATTAATAAATAATTCAACCATCAGAGAGAAAAGTCCCACACACTTCTGTTATGTGCAGAAGAGTGGATTATGTGGTTTTGGAAAGAGAAAACAAGGAAAAAGTTAACTCTGATCACAATTTTCAAAGTGAACAGTTAATGATTCTTGAGACACTGGATAACCAGTCCAGACATTTCAAATAGCTCATCATGCTGGTTGCAAAAAGCACCAGCACAGAGCCTAAGCTGAATACAGGCCTGCATCAAAGAGGAGCTCAGGAAAAGTGAATGTTTTTTTCCTTCTGAGGTAGATGCATTTAACTTTTGTGATCATGACAGAATTCAAGAGTAGCAACCTGTTGAGTTGTTTAAATTTCAGGAGGATAAAAACCTCCAGGTTTTTAACTGAATTCTTGTGTAAGGGAACTAACACCAGTGTCAGAGATCCTCAGCTACTCCTGATTACCACAGTAGTAGACTCAATCTGCCAAGACACACAACAGTAATGTAATAGTTTATCCTTTTCCAGAACTAGAAGCTCAGTTACGGTAAAAAAAAAAAAAAAAAAAGATAAAACAATCTGTGCATTAGAAAGTTCTAATCAAGTTATGCAAATTTTTTGCAGATGGTGAATTCATTACCAGCAGAGAATACCTGCCATTGGAAATATTCCAGTTATAGTTCCACCAGGTTTAAAAAACCTCCCAAGTACAAGTACTTTGACAGTTGACTATTTCATAATACCAGCATCAGTATTTATTCAGCCTCACACTTTCCAAGATATTTTTGCTACAGTCTGCTCCTATCAAGATGCACACTTATCAGGTTGATTCATATTCAGATTATGTCCAACTACAGACCTAAACTGGGACCTCTCCATTCCGTATCTGGATTTCTAATGCTTCTGAAGTATGTAAAGTATACAACTATATGGCACATAAATCATTGGTGCAATGCAGTACTTCCAGTCTCCATCTTCTAAGACCTCTGGAGTTTCAGTTCTTGTCCCATTCCACAGCTGGCACATGGGTGTGCTCAGAGTCGGCTCAGTGTGGGTGGCTCTGTCCCCAGGGTTCCTCTAGCAAACTGCTCTCTTGCTACTCCATCAGATATAACTTCTCACATGTATAGCTGTGCCCTTTAAAGCCACATATTCCAGCTGGCAGAATCCTTGCTAATTGGCTATACTTACCACTTTCAGTTTATTTGTTTCAGTTGATTATTAGTACCAATTATAATCCTTATGTCACGTTCAAAAATATTATACTGGCTTGTTTTCATTGTTATTTAAGGAGTAATCTTTCTTTATTTTTTTCTTTTTTTTTTTAAGGACTGTCCGGACAATCTGGAGGATATGTTTTTTCATTTAAGGAGCACTCCCTGTACTTTTCCAAAAATATTTTATTTAGAAGTCAGCCTACAGAGCTCCATTTTATGCATGAAGGAGATTTAGTTACTAAATATTTTCCTCATCTTTAAAATGATGGAGTCCTCCATTACCTTCAGAAGCCTCAGCTTATGTTGGTTCCCACTCTGTCTGTGCTCTCACACACAGCTTCAGACTGGCTGCACACTCACAGCTCTCTGGCCATAAAGTAATTTCTGGAGATGAAGTTACATTCTCTAGTATTCCAATGCAAACATAAACAGGGTGGACTCTGTTTCTGTTTCAAGATTTTTTCTGCTCTGTCCTCAGCCAATACTGAAACATCCACAGCAGAATGACTTGATGGCCATGTTAGTCTCCATTTATAGATACATCAGCTTCCACTAAGCAGCACCAAACCCTTAAATTCTGCCTTCCTTGAGCTGGGTAGCATTCCCTACCCACCAGCCTCTGCAAAAGGCTTGACTTCAATAGTGTTGCCTTGTACTTACTACTGTACCTGTGGTCTATCTGACCCTGGAGCACACAACCAGCACTTGACAGTGCTTGTCCACTATTTATAAATATTTTGAGCCTGGCAGAGAAAGCGCTACACAAAGGGAAATGGAGAACAAGCACAACGGGTAGCAGCGACAAACAAAGCAGCAGCTTGGACCAGAAGGCAACGACACAGGCAGAAAACAGGGGAATTTGAGAAATCCTCTTATCTGCTGGGGACTGGGAGAGGAAGGAGCCAAGTCCTTCCCACAAGACCCATCTGCCAGGCAGATGCCTGATCAAAGGGAGGTGGTCTTCCAGGAGCCAAACATAAGTCACTAGGAAAACGGTTTATTTTTGGCCACAAGCTTGAAATGCTGAAAGCTCAGCCCTGTGCTGAAGCCAGTACTGTGCTTTAGCTATGAATCAATTGAACAGGGTGACAGGAAAGAATGGGCTCTTTGTCCATACAGCAATTTAATTGCATTGTATTTTTAACTGCAAAGAAGCTCCAGGAATTAATTTGTCTCAAAAGGCTCCTGAACATCATGTTAATATTAATTATTCAGTTCTTAGCCTCCCAAGAACACTTTCGTCTCTAATAGCTGATTTTCAGTGTCTCTTATTGGAAATATTCTCCTGTTTTCCTAAATAAAACAGTCTATTGCAGAAGTATAAAAAACATTGGTGTTGCTACTGAGTCCAGTGAAATCAGGATTTCAAGCAATGCATTATAGAATTCTGATTTCATATATCACTCTAAAATATGATAACCCATCTCAATATTTTCTTTGTAGCATGTAAATGAGTGAAAGAGAAGAAAAGCTATTTTCAGAGACTTCTAAGATACATTCCACTACTTTTATCACATACCTCTGTCTTCTGTAGTTTCTTTCCATATAAACAGAAGAGAAAGGAAGAAGAATGAGTTTTTAGTATGCAGGTACACATGGTCAGTAAGACCAAAAAAATGTAAAAAGAAAAGCACTGTATACAGAATGAAATTTTTGCTCAAAATATTTCTACAAAATCACTTCTGAAATAAGCATATTTACAAATATACTACATCAGAATAAACTGCCAGAAGCTGAGGGTGATATACCAAGACAGCATAGCCTACTTTTCTACTATCCTCATCTTCATAGTTCTTCATATTCCAAATGCTTCTTTCCTTACGTATTTCTGAGCTGCCCTCAGCCTACCTCAGTCTGGCACACCAGCAGGGGCTGTGTTTGTTATGCCAAACCACTGGGGCTGTGCCCCAGCCACAGCACTGCCTGCAGCTCAGCCTGCCCTGCCCTCCAAGCACAACAAGGACCTAGACACAAATGACTTCAAGAGACAGTTTCATCCAAACACAGATGATAAACTCAGTACCTTGAATCTTTTTTTACTACAAGCGAAGAACATAAATCCTTCTGGTTTTATATGAAATTCACAAAAGAATTAAAACTGAAAAAGACTAATCAGGCTAATATAATCCATTTTGCCTCTCAGTGAGCACTGATATCTCTACACCAGGAGAGAACTTGAGCCTTATTTGCAAATTGCAGATCTTTCCTACCAAAAACTGTGCTTCAATTAATTTCAGGTAAAGTCGACTAAATATAATTATCTATTTAATGAAGGCAGTGGTTAAATGCTTTGCTGACTGATTGAGAGCTAATCTTGCTATATTTACTTCATCATGAGGAAAAATTTATAATTTAATCAGATCATACTCCTGCATTTCCTTTGTCACATACAGTAAAATCACAATCTGATAATCTAAAAAAAGAAAAGAAATTACTAAATGAGAAATAAATTTCAAATTTGGATCAAACTCTCTAAAACCACATACAAATGTAAGAATTGCTTGAAAAATGTTAATACAATAAACATGTTACTGTATAAATATTATTGAATTTGGATTTTTTAGATTTTTTTAATTGGTCTTTTCATAACATAATCAGCTATCACATGAAATACACATATTTTGAAATTCTATAAAGAAGAACAAAATGTACTTACTTGTAACCCCAAGCAGTTATTCCTAAAACGAGAGCCAACACTAAAATGGTGCCAGCAATAGCCCCTATTATTATATTTGTGCTAACCACGCCTGGAAACACAAGAAAGACGAAAAATATACATAGTTTTAGGAGAAAAATACACAAAACCAGTAAATGCACCATCTTTCAAAAACCAGCTTGAACAACTTTCACTAAGCTGATTGTGATACACTCCTGAAGCATAGCATGGACATAAAAAGATCATCTGTAAATCAAGCTTTGACTTCTGTGTCTGTTTCCACTAACTGAATACTTGTTACACAGGAAACCTATGCCAGGTATCCCAAAACAGTATTTTCAATATTAAACTGCTGTAGATTACATCCTTACAACCTGCCCTAACAAATCCATGGAATAAAAGTGACTACTTGTTTGGTTTTGTTCAGATCCCTTCCACAGCTGAATAAATTAATCAAATGAAGGATTCTGGAAGATGTTCCCCCACAAGAATTTCTAATGACCAGCATTTACAAGCTCATTTTTCTACAATATATTTCTTTTGTACACAAGACTAAAGCAGAATAAAAACTTCCACTCCAAAAGTGTAAGTCAGGCATTACCTGACTACACTCCATCTAGATGTGGAATGTCCCAGTAACCTTTTGTTTGTCTAATCTATCAATATGCTTAATAAGGCCACTCAGATGATTGGGAAAAGAATGGTGGAACTGGACCCATTGATACGAGTTCCCAAAGATGCATTAGCTGAGGCTTCATTTACAAACTTCTTTTACACTTTACAGTGCTTCTGCTGTGGGAGGAGAGAGGGGAACAAGGCTCCTGATGCTGCAGCATGTTGTGTACTAGCTGAAAGAGTAGGAGACCTAGTTTTGCTTAATGAACTTTCTTCAAATCCAAGCATTTTCAATAGCTGGTATTACAACAACATACCTTTATTGATGGCATCCTTATCAAAAAATAGATCATCTTTGATATGAGCACTGCAGTCATCTCCTCCCCAAAATCGGTCACAGACGCATTTTATTTCATTGCTACAAACCTGCAGTCAAAAGTGTAGCTCAGAAAAAAAATCAGATTATTCATCCATTCCCGTAATTAATACCTCAAATATAGGTACAGTGATAAAGCCCTAATTTTACTGCCCACAAAATTTTGCAAAATAATTTTTAATATATAGAATTTTTTAATTTATGTTAGGTATAAATGAATTAAATATGCTATTATGTTTTATATAAATAGACGTAGTGTTTATTCAGTACAGACTTTAACATATCTATATTTAATAGAAGCATTTATAATTGCTTTAGCAGACTGACTTAATGACTTTTTTTTCAAAATATTATGAAATGCATGATTTGAGATAAATAAGCAAGTTTTAATGCAGTGTTCAAGACAGAAGACGTTATGAGAGAACAACTTCCCTGATCTCAGCTCAGTCACAGGGCCCTGGACACTGTGTCAAACTGTGTGAGGGACAAGGGGGCTCTCCACGGCCACGGCAAAGCCACAGACTGCACACCGAGCAGAGAAACTGCCAAGAGCCAGCTCTCTGCCCTCTTTTCCAGAGTAAAGGAGCTCTCAGCCCACAAAATACAACATCATCAACAACTTTATGAATCTTCTTGGCTATTTATGTAATAAAGAGGGAATTAAAAAGAACAGGTCTCTGGAAGAACAGAGACCCAAGTTTCTCAGTTCATAAATCTGTATTTATTCTCCAGCACATTGCCTGAGGAAATATCAATCAAGTTAGCAAAAGTGAGCAAAAACATTGATTGATAAAACTCTGTAAAACTAATACATACTAACTATGACTCATTGTTTAAGATGTCTGGACTGGAATGCATTACATTTAGTTATGTGCCTCCTTCCCTTTTCACTTTCAAAAAGTTCTCCAGTTTTACGACATCTAGAGTCACACTGACCTTCCTGAAAGGCCCAGCTAGTAGACCACACAAGGCCAGGTACTCAGAAAAAGCAGCAAAAAGCATTGAAGAGTGCAAGAACCTACCCCGTGTCCTGAACAAATCTGGCTGTCGGTGGTGCCCGGGCAGGTGCTGAAGTTGAAGGCCTCGGTGGGGAGGCAGCGATGGTCCAGGCACACCATGTCCGGCCCGCACGGCGTCCCGTTCTCCACGTAGCCCAGGTCCGTGTCCTCATCGAGCTTCACGTGGCCACCACTGCAAGACAGTCAAGAGGGCCTTGGAGACTTGTGCTGTGCTTAGATGGGGCTGCTTGAGGAACTGGGCCCAGGGCTGCTGCCTGCGTTTCTGTGCTGCACAATGCCCAGGAGTAGGTAAGAGTAAGTGTTGGCTCAGTGACCTCACTGGGCCTGAAACAAAGCTAACCAGTGTATCTACATCAAACAAATGAAATCATGAACAGAAGGACCATTTTTACTGGGAAATAACTTGAGTTAGACAAAACTCAGTTTACTCGTTAAGACGTCATTTGGTCTTACAGTTGTGTGAAGCTATGAAAAGATACCGCATATATAATTAGAATTCAGCTACAATATAGCAATGAATTAGGCTACCAGTTAACTTTGGCAGTGCAGGCATATGTGTAAGTATTCTGGGTACGTGAAGTACTTGGCAAATATTAAAGAATGTAAAATCACAGGGCCTGAGAAGAGCATTACCTCTCTAAAGGCAAAATTAACTATTGAGGGGACTGCAAAATTAACTGCAAAATTAACTGCCCCACAGGCAGTTAATTTTCTGAAGCTTTACAAAGGTTGAACTGCAATAATGGTTATGTGTTAATAGGAAAATAAAAAGGAAACAGTTTTTCTCCATTTAGGAATGAGAAAGCTGCTTTTCTGTGCAAGATGGATATTGTTTGTTCTGTTTTCAGGATTTCCAATTACCTGCAATTGTAGACTTTTCCATAGTGCAAGATTGATGTTGTGATTTCACCATCAAGTTCTCCAAGTCTGGGCACACTGGATATATTGGAGCACAGAAGGTACCCACAAAGCACATCCCTGCATTGAAAGAATAAACAGATACTCATAAAAAATAAAATTCAATTAAAATGGACAAGCAAAAATATGACCACTTGCTTGGTAACCTATGTGTTATTCCTTGCTTTTCTCCCACTGACAGTAACTCCCATAAATGATGCTGTTTCCCAAGAAAATTCTTCCCTTGTAAGATAGATTTGGAAAACTCTGTTTTTATACCACATTAACAAAAATTCCCTGAGTAATAACAAGCAAGGAGCTGTCAAGAACAAACCACATCAAATTGATTTAATGATCTATTAAGAAAAAGTAACCAGTCCATAGAGGAACAACAGTAGATACTGGTTCTAAATACACTCTCATAGGACACATATGTAGGGGAACTATAGACACCAAGCTGAATTAAACCGCTGAAGGGACTTCACTACTCATGTGTGGAGACTTTTGCACTGACAGAATAGAAGGATCTGACATTTCCCATATTACTGAATATTTTTTACTTATGAATTTGTATTGGAACAGAAATAAGGTTACCAGAGTTTAAAAAGTGGGAAAGAACAATAGTTCACCTGTAGGCAGGACTAGAAATTAAATGTCATGAACAAAATGGAGAAATTTTAAATGCAGTTTGATAAGGACAGGTGAAAGGTCCAGAAATTGGCAGAAATAATCAACTGCATATATTCAGAATGTGAAATAATGCTTTAGGCAGTGACTTGCAGGAGTATACTTGGAAAATTACAATACCGTGAAAAATGAAGAAAATATAGCAATGCCATGGCACAGCATAAAAAGTGAACACCACACCAAGGTGTGAAACCAAAGGCTGCTCTCCTCTGCAGTGCTAACCCTCATGAGTACTAGGAACACTTTTGATCCAAGCTCTCCCAAGCTCAGATGGTGCTCTCTTGTCAGGGATCATCTCTTCTTGGCACCCTACTCCCTCCAGGACTTCTTGCACAAAGGTCTGCAGAAGAAGGCCAGAAATCTGATACATAGAGAGGCTTTTTGAGTCTCTTCATGCCAGCTGAAAAACTGCATCAGGGGTAAGAACATCATTCTAGTAGCTTTCTAAATGGATCAACTTACTGTTTATTGCACTGTACCCAAGAGTCCTTGTCTCTTCCACAGTTTCCTTTCTCAGTCCCCTCAATATTCAGCTTCTCATAGCAGTACCTGTCAGCAGCTGTCACTTCTAAAAACAGAAACAAATCTCTTCTAAGATGATGACTTTGAAAAGCCATGTCCTGAGAAATGGGGATACACAATCAAAGCAAGCAGAGCTTCCCAGTTTGTGAACTGACACACCATGATCTGCAGGTGGCCCATGAAACTCGGCACAGTGCTCTTCTTGATTAAAAGTTTTATGATGCTACCACAGGACTTTTGTTAAAATTTTTTCAGATTGATGAGAATTTATTCATGAAAAATGTTCCCACTGAAATAAACTAATGAACATGAGTACAGGCTTCCTAGATGGTTATTAATGAGAACTAAAGTTTCGGTTTTCAGTCACCAGTAAGTTAACCAACACTAGAGAAAGAGCTGGAAACAAGGATGGAAATACAAAAGGACAGGGGAAAGAAAGGGAGAGACATACTGTTCTAGATGTTTTCAATGGTTCTCAGTATGTCCCTTCCACAATTTTTCTTAGCTAAGATAGTCTTTCAAGTCACATGCATGAAAACCAACTTAGAAACAGAAACATTCACTTACTTTCACCCCAGATATATTTACATTGCCGGTCTCTGGTTTTACATCTTCCTCCAAAGCAAATACCCTAGAAAGAAAGAAAAAAAATACAGAAAATATTTCAAATTACTTGATTTTCTAAAATATGTATTTCTATAATGCATAGATTAGTCACACACTTTATATTGGGGCAAGGAATATGTGATTCTATCTTCTTTTCATTAAAAACATGACTAGCATCTAAAAATCATCAATCTTAGCAGAACTGTCCCAGGTGACTTCCAAAGATCCTAAAACAAAATCCATAAAAAGCAATCTACAACAGCAGAAAGAATGCAAAAGAAACTGAAGTCCTAATTACCTGTCTGTTATCACATGAATATCCATCCATTTTATGGATATTAGGAGAACACTATAGAAAGAGAAAATAAGTAATAGATCATAGATCAGACAAGCATGAAAGCAAAGTATACAACAAAATTAATTTGAAAAAACATTTCAGTATCATTCTGGTTTTTTAAACATCAACAGATTAAACACAATTTTTATGCACCATACTATACAAAACATTCATAGTGATTTTGAGATTACAGGTGGGGCTTTTTTGTTCCATGAATAGAAGACTCAAAAATCACCTGGCTGGAATTTCCTGTGCAGTTCTCTGCAATATCACAATCATTCACTGCTTCTCGACACAAAACTCCTTTAGGTTCAAACTGGGGAAAAAAGCACAGAAAATTAGTGTCTTGGTTTCTCCATACCTTGCCTTAAATGCAATGCTTCCTTACAGTTTTATCTAAAATAAAAAATGGAAAATAGTCACATGCTGACTGAAGTGGGAAGAGTCTTCTTTCCCTGGTGTGCATGCTGCACCACTCAAGCCATTTACGGGTGCAAGTGGTGCCACTCTCTGAGGCACCCCCTCCTGAGGGCACAGATTGTGGGGCTGGGCAGGAGAGGTCTCTCCTGGGACAGAGGAGCCCTGGGGGTGTCCAAACCAATACTGCAGTGGCTGGCAGCATCACTCATTTTTCCACTTTTCTCCAAGGAAGTATTTTTCCCGAAGCAGTTGGGAGAGAGGCTGATGGAATCTGCTCTCTAGAGGAACCCCTTTGGAAGTTCTCTCCCAAATTTGCCCTAAACCAGTCACTGTGTCTTTTTGTGACTATATTGCTTTTCTTTAAAGAACAGAAGAAGTCATCCTGATCTTCTCTCTAGGGATGAAGAACACTGCAGAGCTCTACATACAAACACTTCGGTTATTTTAATCCCCCATTGTTGTTGCAGAACAGGAACTATTAATAAATGTACTGAATTCTGTACAGTTTGACACTCTTTTCTAAGAGACTGGATATTTAACAATGAAAAGTGTACCAGTGACCTAATACAGACATTTTGGCTAAAGAATTATATGCTAAGTCTCAGGACCTGGAAAAGAAGGAAGACATCACATTTAGGCAATTTTTAGTGTTTCTGGTATGGACATATTACAGACTCCTTATTTTTCCTCAGAGTTTTCTTAAGACTTTGATACACAGTTCATTTTGCAGGCTCGTGATATTTTTTTTTTTTTTTTTTTTTTTTTTGAGATCTGCATGCACATACATTTTTCAGGGGACATCTGTTATCTCCAAGCTGGTGTGAACAGCACAAATGTTGTCAGAGACACTACAGGATTCTGGGATGTTTAATCACGATGTATTGCTTGCAACCCCTCCTTCACTCCTGCTTTCAGGCAGGATGTTACAGGGAAGGTAACCCCAAGTTTCAGAGCTATGATATAGTCTTTTGAGTTGTCCTGATAAACACAGTAGTAAAATTCTACTTTTCTGTTCATTCACTCACCCTTGCCACTCTGAAAGGAGATAAACCCTTCTCTCTTTTGCAAAAAAATAAGGTAGGTATACAAAAGCTTTGTTTTGTTCTGATAGTCTTTAATATGGTGCCTATGTGACTTGGATTCTTGAGCAAAATTCACCCACACTGGCAATCTGCTGATTTTTTTTTATTATTATTGCATTTAAAAAGGGAATGTGCTTAGGGAAATGTGATCTGTTCCAGCATAATATGTGCTTTTTCTTTTTTTAACATTAGGATGAGCACAAAGCCAAGAATGTGATCCACAGTTATTATTAATGATCCTCCTAAGGGAATGAAACCCTCAAATGTGCAGAGACAAAAATATCGTACATAGTACACCACAGTTTTAACTACATTAATACTAATTATCTTTATTACTAAATGAATACAAACAACCATTTGAAGTCACATTTAACAGGGCTCCCTTACAGCCACGATCTGGTTAAACCTCCTTTTACTATTTACTGATGTATCAAGAAGAATAACTTAGAGTTTACACAGGGCTTGATTCCCTTTACTCAATGGGATTTCAGTCAGTCCAAACATAAGGAGACACAGGTAGACCAAACTGAAACTGAAGTCAGGTGTCTTTTAGGCAAATCCTTCTGAGTAATTCTGCTGGCTGTGCTTTTGTGTTTTTACTCCATTCTTCCCTCGGACACTCTGTGGTATGATTTTCCCATTCAGTTTCATGGGGCAAACCCAGAGCAACACATATGGCATTGGGAGTGTCACCTGGATAAGGATGCGCATGTTCACAGAGTGACAGAATGGTTGGGGTTGTGAGGAACCTTAAAGATCATCTAGCTCCAGCACCACCATGGGCTGGAATACCTTCCACTTGCTCAAAAACCCATCCAACCTGGCCTTCATCACTCCCAGGGATGGGGCATCCACAGCTTCTCTATAGGCAACTTGTTCCAGTGCCTCACCATCCTCACAGTGAAAAAACAAGGACATCTAACAAAACCTTTATGGTTCATTTATCCCTTAAGCGAGGATGTTTAATAAGATCTCACAGAACTTCAACCTGATTCAAACTTGTCTGAAACTGGAAGGATTCAATTTACCTCTGCATTTGATGACTGTCCCTGCCCCAAAAAGCCAAGCCTAAGAGACAGAGTACAGCCTCAGAAAAATCAGATTTCAGCCAGTTTTAAAAGGTAAGCTTTCAAAAGAGTAATCACAAGATCTGCAAGGGAGAATACATGTGCTGTAGTGCCTGCAGCCACCAGGATGCATTCCCAGCAGGCTGTGAGGGTCACTGTCCTTACCCGGCACTTGCGGCAGCAGAGCCCGTTGCTGCACTGGGAGCCCGCGGTCAGGGTGCAGGTATTGCAGCACTCTCCTCCTTCACTGGCACACTCCTGGGAACACACACACACAGAATAGAATACATGGAGAGGACATGAACCCCAAGCTCTTAATGCTCCTCATCTTAGCATGCTACCTGAATGGATTTTCATTCATTCTTTTAGGTACCTAGAGGCAGAAAAAGGCATGTACTTGTGGAGCATGAAACTGATGCTTGTGTGCAAGATAGCAAATAATTTTTCTAGCTTCATATTGCCATTAAATACTAACATCTTAGCACTGAATAGTGTTTCCATCTAGGAAAATGCTTTCTTTCATGCCTTTGAAGGCTTGATTCTGCACAGCCAGCTATTACTCTGAATCCTTGGGCACACGACCTTCACCCTGCTTGTCTTCCTCCACTTATCATTCACAGCAGCAATGTGCAGTACCAAGTCTCAGACAAATCCAGTTGCTAATTTAAAGTACATTGCACTTACCGCTATTGTCCCACAGTCACATTCCTCTCCATCTTCCACAAAGCCATTGCCACATTCTGGAGGATCCAGAAGCTGCATGGAAATTCAGAAATCAAAGGGCATGTCTCTTTTATAGGAATCATTGTCATATTTGCTCTGTGCAACATGGTTTTTAAGCTAGCACTTTAAATGGATTAACTGAAATAGTTTCCATGAATCAGGGAGACACAGAGTGACACAACACAAGTGAAGCATACAGAGAATGAACACTCCTGAAAATTGATACAGCAATGCTGCCAAGTCACATGGTATCTTCTGTGCATAGGTGTCACTCAACAGTAAATTCAATTTGAGCAGAAGTTACAATGAAAAACAAAAGATATGACAATATAGGGGGAAAAAAATAAGGATATGACAATTTCATTATCTTCCTAACAGTTGCAATTGCTGTTGCTCTGGAGTTCAAGTGACAAGGGCTGAAAGGTTAAAGCCTCCACTGTAAGTTCAGAAGTAGTAGCCATAAAAAGTAGTCCTTTTATGTGGCTCAGAAATGCTTGGGAAGGAGAGATGCTTGGTTTCTTTGTCAGTTTTTGTTGCAGTTCGATTTTTCTTTCCATTTTCCTCTACCACAGTTGGGAACTTTTCCCAGTTTTCTCTAAGTATGTATTACACACAAGCAGATGTGCACAGGGAGTATTCCTGATGAGGCTTTCTCCCTTTCCTTTCAGCCCTCCCAGTGGACTGTAACTTAAAAGATCAAAATCTTTATATTTGTATGCCATAACCTCTTCTAAGGGACATTGATATTCTGTTCTTTCCAGTTTAATTTTTTCTGTCTTCCTAAAACCTTTGAAGGTAGTTCTTCTAAAACAAATTTTTTTTTTCCTTTGGACATAAGAAAACATAATAGTAGCTTTTATTACATAAATGAGAAGGCATTTAAGTGTGTCACCAGACTAAAATTTTGCAGCTCAGCCCTCGAGTTCTCCAATTAAACTGGGACCATTCCAAAAATCACTCTGCTCCTGAGCCATCTGCACAAGCACAGCATCATACGTGGTGTAGAGCATTTCTCACTGGCTGCTGCCTTTCTGTCTGGAGCCCACAGGATGGAGCATCACCCCACCAACTTCACTGTGCCACCAACCACAGCCTGGCACAGGCTGATGTGTTATTATTACATCCCCATTGAAATGGAAATTTGACTGCAGCATGAAATGCATATGTAGAAGGTAACATAAAATGTATGCAAGCTTTTAGAATTATTAAAGAGTTGTTAAAACTGCTTGTTTCCTATGTATTTTTCCAGACAGCTTAACTTCTTCAATATGTCTCGGTGTGCTGCACAACAGAGACAAAGAGACAGCAGTGGCAGAGAATTCTGCCTTGAAATATTGGGCCAATTTGCGGCAGTGCATAGGGACAGCTAAAAATGAAACTGAAGGAAAAAACCCAAACATTAAAAGCAAATTGGATAACTTTTCCCCAAAGTCATATCATTCATCCATTCATTTGAAAAGAGCATATGTTCAACCTGCTCCAGCAGCCATTGATGTAATTTTTGGGATTATAGCTGATCTAAGAGCGGAGCACTGCCAAACACTGCACCTTGTCACACTAGCTTTCCTTTATCTCATAATGCTTGAAAAACAAAAACAAGTTTGTGTCTCACCACCCTTGCTAGGAAACACATCTTTGACAGCATTGTTAATTACACAGACATCCATTGACAAAACCTTTAAATCAAGTCAAACCACAATGCATAAAAGGAGCTAAATCACCCTGGCTCCACATCTAACTCACATTTCTGCATGCCCTCCAAAAAAAACCCAAACCTAAAGTGCTGCCAAACTAAATTGAAAGGAGAGTAATTGGGGTTTTTTCCAACTGACAGATGTGTAAATGAACACAATCACTAAAATAAAACCAAGTAAGACACATTACACGATATAAGCAATACACTCAGCAAGTAAATACATCCACCAGTATTTCTCCACCTTTAATGGGATGGAAAAAAGCAAACTTCTAAAACTCAGGTACATTTTAAATAAGAAATTTTATATCTTATTAATGAATTACAGTGTTTTCTCTCCACTTTTAATAATATACTCTTTCATCAAAAGAGACTTTTAAGAGATAAGCAGGCTCAGCTTGTCCAGATTTGATGTTTTACTTTCTTTAAGTTTTATGGAAATTCTGTGGTTGTCAGAAGATGTAGTTTTTCTCACGTTCACGAGAAGGAACATGCATCATTTCTGAATTGAACTTTCTTCTCTTTTACATCTGTGACCACTTCAGTTACCAGATAAGTCTTTTTTCCACATTGGACTGTCTTTCTGCCTTAACCTCTTTTCCTTTGCTTGTTGAAAGACAGCCATTAAATACAGGTTAACATTAATTATATATAGAAAAGAGTCAAAATAATTATCCTGCCTGCTTTACATTTTAACACCTGCTTCAGTAAACGAAGCAGTAATATAGTGGAACACTGCTGCAAATCCTGCATTGCAGACCTGTTGTAAATACAAAATTGTATTGCATTCACAATATTCAGAATAAATTGTGTGAGGGATAATTCTTGATCAGAGGCTGTTGATACTCTACTGGACATGAAACCACTTTATTAGAAATTTATTTAAAAGTAGTTTCTAAACTACTATGAACTAAAATAATCTACTTACACCCATATGTTACCAGAATAGAGAGAACCAGAACTATCAAAACTAAAGGGGTTTTTTCCAACATTATAATTTTCATTCTTCTTGATTTCATCAAAATTAGCAATAGAATAGAAATAATATTAAACATTAATGTAATGCTTACTTTGGTTGGTTTATTGAAAAGGCAGGCCCCACCTCCATTGTTTAAAAATTCATGATACTCTTCAATATCACACTCGGAGAATTTGCTTGGAAGATAGTACCTAACAAAATAAGGTAGAAGGATTACTTTCTCTGGTGCTTTTTACACTGTAATTTCTTTTTTTGAAACAGAAGAAATATAATGTTATACTTCAGAAAAAGAATGAAAACAATGCTGTTCAGAATCAGAGTGACTATCTGTTTCTAAGTCTATCTGACTATTCTATTTCTTTCTATTTGAAAATCCTTCCAGTAAATAATAAGGAAATTTCAACAATAACACAACGTTCATGGAATGTGAGAAGTCTAGAATATTTCACTAAGTTTTTAGGCATCAAACAGCACAAATCTGATTCCAGCATGTAGTTCACACAAGCGTGACTTGTTCCACTAACAGGCCTGATCTCAGAAATACATTTATTTCCTCCCATACAAACTGCAGGAGTAAAAGACAGCTTATAGTTTGTTCCTCTCTAGGAGGAAATGGTTCCCCTGGCTCACAGAATTTTTTATATAATAGAGTTATGCCATTTTAAACATGCTTCTAGCAAACACCACCTAACATTTCAGCTTCCCTCTGTGTCATGTGTCCCACTCAGTAAATTTCAATTGAGTACAGAGTGTCCCCAAGGCCCTGTGCCCCACCTAAAAACAATGTGATGCACAGAATCTTTGCATGGATCCTTTTCACAGGGAAATGACTTTTCCCAAGGCAACTGCAGTGATCTTTATATTCAGGTCCATAGTCATGAAAGTACTTATGCTTCAAGGAGATTTTGGAGTCTCAAGGGCTTTCCTCTTCTATCAGCTCACCACTGGATATAAAAATATTAGCCAAAGTGCTATCCCTGCACTGCTGGGAGAGATACCTTCCAGAACATAATTGGCTTTTTCCATCTGTAATGCTCATGAATTTGGTCTAAACACTACAGAGGCTGTGGATTTCACTGAAGTTCAGCAATAAGCTAGGTAAATGCAAGGCTTTTTCAGGTACCAAATTATGTGAAAGGTTTGAATTTCAGACAAAGAATTTAAAGGTCCTAACATGGGAATCTATAACTTTTATAAGAATCAAAAACACCTCTCAGACTGGACTTTTAACTTCCCAAAAATCAGAAAAATCATACCAGATGTGTTTTCAGGTATTCTAAGGTGAAAAGAGCACACATTCACACTTTTAAAGAGGCTTGAATGAGTCATACTTCTTTGCTCAAAATTTTTCTGACCACAAAACTATTGTGAAAATTTGTGGATCCATTTGGAATTAATTAAAATCTGAGCCCTGTCTGTATCTCAAACTAGAATACAATGTAATTCATATCTAAAACTAGACTAAAATGCAATTCATATGCATGATAAAAGACAGACCTGTAATAAAAAGTGTTAATGTCTGAATATACTTCAGAAAGCATCAAATTTCATCCACCAGCAAAAATTTGCTTATTCACCAGTCATTATGTTCAAATCTCCCCAGTGACACTACACATGGGTATGAACATACTCAGCCTCCAATGGGGGCAGTTTTTCTAACAATATCACACAAACTGTGCAATAAAAAATGATAGAGATAGATGACAGATTCCAACAAAAACACTGAAAATGAGGCATGCCTCAGAAATTCGATTACAGGATTTCAAGAATTAGGGTATGTCATTGTTTCTACAACTCAATAGCAATCTTGCATGAGAAAATAAGCTATGCCTGCTTCTGCTTCTCTGCAATGACCTGACTTGGCTGTTGAGCCTTGTGCTTTCCAAGTTAAATCAGCATTCGCCAAAAACTCTCACATGCCCTTCTCATTAACTCATTCCCACATTTCTTTGAAGGTGTCTCTGTATGGGATGTACTTAATACTTTACTTTCTGAAAACTGAGTCATCAAAAATATTCTGATGAACCACAAAAGAGAAAACTTTTCACACTTTTACTTTATGTCACTGTATGAAAAACATTACTTTTCTCCAGCGAAATGTCTTACCCCATATCTCCCATTATGCATCCAGACCACATGTCCTCACACTTACATTCACCTGACAAAAACAAAAGATAAAATAAAAAGTTACATCTTGAGTCTTGTGAGTCCAAAGTAATACAATTCTTATCATAAAAAGCTCACTGTACTCAATTCCATTTCATATTTCCAAACAAACCGGAAAGAATAATTTGCTGGTTTATTGCATACCTTAGTTTAAGCGTATCAGTACACCTTGCCAAAATTTTTTAAAACTCTACGTGATTCTGTGCAATCCTGAGCTTTGAAAATATGTCCTGATTTTCTTTCCTTCTCTGAAAGGAAACTGCAGTGTTAGCCCTCTGCACTTGCAAATCATGAGTCAGCTTTCTCATCTCCTGTGTGATGATACTTATTTCCAAAATTTTCAGAATTAATAAAAAAGAATAATTCTACTTTTCTAATTTTTTTTTTTTAGTTCTCTTCTTTGACTATAGCAATGTGATTTTGAAAATCTTTCCTTGGAAAATCCCAAAAAATATTTCAGACCAAAAAAAAGCATGGAATGATCAATGAAAAACACAAGGTAGTACAGCAGGAACTATCAGCTTCTTCCTCTGCTCTCCCTCCCTTCCCTGCCTGCCTCCCTTCCCCATGAAACTCCCTTCTGCCCTGCCAGCTGGGATCGCTTTGCTCTGGTCTCAATCCTCCTCTCTCAAAGCTGTGTCTTGCTTTAATCTCAGTAGAAATGTTTTCCACTTGCACGTTCCATAATTTCTTTTACTGTACACGTGAACATCAGTTTATTGCTTCCACTTTAAAAGTACAATTAGAGAGGAAACAAAGCTCTATCAAATGCATTCTCCTCTCTCCCTACCAAAACAGTGTCCTGCCCTTCTCAGTCATTAAGAAAGGCAGTCACCACTATTATAGTTTTCACTTTTATCCTGCCCCTACCTCCACTCAAGAATATGTGGCTGAAAAATGAATACTGAACATGCCTGTAGGATAGAGCATCAGTTCTACATTTCTGAGTATTTTTTAAAATGGTATTGCATAATTTGCACGAAACCCCTTTAAATGCAGCTGTCTCTCTGCATTATATATTGTCTTTACAATGCCTGAAAAAAAAATCCAATAATCAATAGAGTAATTTATATTTTTAAATGTAGGCCACATAAGCACACCCAATGCAGTAAGTCCACACTCCAGTTAATTATCTTAAGTGTTTCATGACTGTATTTTTATTTTAATCTTATCAGGCTGGAACTGCATATAACATGGAAGCAGGAAGGCAAACTGCTTGTTGTGGGCACAATGGTGGAGCTCAAAGCATTGCAGGTAAACAGGGATAACTAAGGAGCTGAATACCAAGGTTACAGCAGAGAAATGGCAGCAGTAGGGTAGCAAATACTCGATATTTGGGTAATCTACAGGAGAAACAGGGGATTTGGGTAATCTATAAGAGGAAATCAACCAAGGTAAACAGATAATAGGTTGAATTGTTTGAACTGTTCTATATAACAGTACTGAGGAGGCTCCTCATTATACCCTGATCTAATAATGTATATTCCCACCCTTGTGTCATAAGATGGCAGCAATTTGGTCTGTGGGTGGGACACCAGTCTCCCTGAAATGAATGGGAGTGGCAGGCACCTTTATGGCCTATTTTGGATGAAATGGTGACACCAGTCCTATCAGGAATTACAAGCAGGGGTATACTAGAGCATTCAAGTAAAGAAAAGTTAGTATGTCAGACCCTTCTCATGTTACTGCAAGAAATAAAAATATTTCAATATTGTGAGAAATGGAAGGAAAAAGTATATATCAGAAAGACACTGATAAGATCCTCCAGTTTTTAAGATTTTTCTCTTGAGACAGAGTGAAAAAGCAAATAAAATTACCACTTAGAAGTTTTCTTCTGTCTGAGAAAATGCCAATATTTTGGGCCAAGGTCTGCGCCAGGGTAACTGCCATTAAGTCCGGCTTTCCAAACTGAAAGAAACAAGCAAGGTGGGAAAAGTAATCAGTAACACACAGGTATCTCTGATTCAAGTGAAGCTTTTTTCATATCAAGGCAAAAAAATGCAAAATCAGATGCACAGTATTAGAATTCTTACTGCAGGGTAGCTAGATGAAAATTAAACACTGGCTTATAGACAAGCTAAGTAAGAGAAAGTCTGTTTCTCTCTTGGCACTGTGGCTAGAAATATGAATGACAGAATATTGCAGAATTTGCTTAAAAGTGTATTTGAAGTGTATTGACTTTATTCACTCATCACCCTTCATTGAAGCGTCCCTTCTATAGAGCTGCAGTAAGAGTCTACATCAGCAAAAAAAGCAAAATATTTTGAGGAACATGTCTGCACTAATAAATTCCCGGCAGATAAATTTCCATCAGTTTTTGTTCATACCAGTATGCCCACCTACCTCATTCACACCTCCGCCTTTAAGCAAGGAGCAGATTCCACCAGTGTGGGCTACACCACTTCGACTGCTCTGAAATCGACTCCCCCTTTGACAAAAACAAAAAGAAAAAGAAGTTTACCCTGCTCAGTCCACGAGTTTTGCACCTGCCTATTCCAGTATCCCCCTTGTGATTTCCAAATGGCATTTGCAAATGCTGGATGCCACCACTACACTGCAAATTATGCAAAAACTAATGGGAAAAACAGATAACCACTCACAAAGCTCACATGACAGGTTATCTCCAGAAAACTTATACCGTCTTCCCTCCTCCTTTTCAGACTACCTAATATAAGAAGAAGGGGACTATTTTGCCAAACCACCTGGATCTGCCCAGCCTCTTGTTCCTTGACTTTCTACTGCAGTGAGTGCTTTCTGGTGGCACGTGTTTCAGGCAGAGTTCAGGAGAGGCCACCATGCCCCCAGTGCACGGGACTAGTGAAATGTCATGTCTCTAATTGGGCAGTGCTGATGTGAAAACTCAGCAGGTAAAACTCAAGGGGAGAAGCATTAGCAGAAGATGCAGAGGTAGGTGAAAACTCCCTGGAACTACAGCCAACCTCATCCAAGAAGTCACACTCTGAGCCTAAATCTAATCACCTCTTTGGTGCTGACCACATCAGCATGAATGACTGCCAGTTACTGGAGACAAAATTTACTCTGCTCCACCTGAGAGTACTGATCATCCGGCAAATTGTTTCTCTCAGGTGAGAGGAGAAAACTATCAAGAAGGGTCACAGTGGGCTAACTGTGGAAGCTCATTTGTAATCACTGTACCATCACACAGCTACTCCCACCTCCCAACTTAGCTGTGTTTCACTCACAGACACAATTGCAGAAACTGCTGTTTCTAAACAATCTACGAATGCAATACCACAATAACCACTGGTGGTGGTGCTATGGATAGCACTGGAATTAGCATTACAGTGGTATCCCGAGTCCCAGCCACAGGCCAAATCAGGCTGTCTTTTGTTCTAGTCAATACACACACGTTCACAAGAACCCCTCAAAGACTTTACAATGTCAGCAGAGAAATTACAAAAAGGATATGAGAAAACCTGATTCCCATTTAAGAGATGAAGATCTGAGACAGAGAAACCAAAATCTGCAAGCACCATTTTGCAGATCTTACTAGCTTTCTTCAAGGCAGAAATAAGTGGCGCTAATTAGGTACATGCAAAAACTCTGAGGGTGGATATCAGGCTTGGGTATCCTGGAACCCTACTGAAGTCATGTGAAGCGAGGTGTTTAGGTTAAGTTTATTATTACAGGCTCCTAAAACAGTCAGCAGAGAGAAAAAAGGACTCCAACAGAGATATTCATCTGGCATGTGTGTGTGGATCAAAAATCTCAGCCACATATCTCTCCTGTATTTTTGTACATATATTTTATTATATCAATCTTATTTTCAAAACAATTAAGATACTTTGAGAAAAAAGCATTCTTCTCAGTTTAGTATTCTTATAGCTCAAATGTCTTGGGAGAACAAACTGTTTTGAGGATCTGAAACACTTCAGTAATCCTGCAGCATGCAGGTCATTCAACAAAGTAAAACAGGCCATGAGTACACTTCAGCAGAAAACCTCATTGGTTCCAAAACCAATGTTCTGCTTTAAATAATCCGTGCTCTAGGGCTGAAGAAGTCAACCTCTGAGGTGGAACCATGCATGACTCTTCAGAAAGCTGCACTTGTGGAGTAGGTGGTTGCACAGAATAACAAAGGATTACAGCACATGCAGCTCAGGCTTAGTATGTTAAAACTAAAATAAGAGTCAAGCCTCTGGTTGCACTGGCAGGCAGTTTGTGAATTAATTTTTCTCCCACCTCCCCATCTGAAACTTTATTTTCTGAATTATTTTGGATTACACACACAACAGGAAGGAGATGCATCAGCCATTTGTGAGAAACAACCCCCAAGGAAAGAAAAAACCCCAGTAATATAACATCACACAAGGTTACGTACGAAAAAAGGTGAACTGCGTCACTTTTCTCTCTGATAAAATCCCTCCTATATTTCATAAACTCACGTAGAGTCACCAAGGGGTTTTCAGATATGGTGAACTTGTTATCAGTAGCCCAGGTTTCCATGGCAACCAATACTATCCTGGTGTTAAGTTGTTCTTTATATATCTAGTACATTAACAGAATGAACAAATATATTATGTCAAATAGAACAAAGATGAGGTTTACCCCTTTTTTTAACAGCTTCCATTTTTACACAACTAAATATTTAGCTTACTCTAGCACACTTTGCATTCTTGTAGGTGATTTTATCTCCCTTAAAACCAACAAACATATAAATCAGGTAAAACCAAAATTTTTGGCTTAATTTTTTAATCTGTTCTCTTAGGCTTCTCTTAGCCTACACAGGCAGAGGTACATACAAGAAAAATGTGATTTTTGAAAAATTACTACATTCAAAATAGTTCAAAGATTTGAATGTAATGGGTCTTTTATAACAGCCAGCTCACCCCATGATACACAAGGGCCCTCTTATGCAGAATAATGATCCATAAAGGCATAATTTTTCTCTGCTATATATGTCTACAGGAGTATTTCAACTCCTGCTGGCTGAATCACAAAAAAAGGGACATCCTTTCAATGCTGCACTAACACTCCACACCAAATACTTTCAAGCATTTTCTTCTTCTAGGAATACTTTTCTTTTTCTAATACTTTGCTGTGGTGAGGTGCAAGAGCCAGCAGCTTGTCTGATTTATCATATTAAGATAATCCACATAGATCACCTGTATGTCCCTATTCTAACTCATTTATTCAAGTGCACTTCTTCTGGAGAAATTTTAATGCATTAGAATTTCAGATTATCTTTTGGGTTTAAATTTGTCAAAACAGGGATCCTGCACTAGAAATTGTCATATCTAAGGTGCTCTTTACAACTCAGACTCAAGGGACCAATCCAGCAGGATACTTAAATGTTTAAAGTCACAAAATAAAACCCCTCTCATGCTTTATGTTAGACAAAGCCCCTAGAGGTGAATGATTGTGGTTCTAGATGAAAATTTGCAATCTTCACATACATTATTATTGTTACACCATGAATTGAAAACTCCTGCATCTATCATCAGGAGAATCTTATACTCGTCTCACACGTAAAAGAACTTTTAGCTGAGTGATACTTACCAGATCAGCCATGTTCACAACTGATTTAGCATAACTGTTGGTATGGCCGACTGACAAGCGGTGCTTTTTACACTGTGAAAAAAGCACAGAGAGTAACAGATTCAGATTCAGAAAAACAAGGTCCATTTCCAAACCACCATGAAGTAAAAAGCAATTATATCAACAATAAAGCCCTTGCACAAGGTTTTGTCTCTTGTGCTGAGTGTAATGTTCATAACCAATAGTAAAAAATTGCTCAGAAATGCACATTACTGATATACTTTACAACAGCTGTTGTGTAATTTCTTCTTTAGAAAGTATGCTAGAATCTTTACTGGAAAATTATATAAGAACAGTAACATTCTGTTACTCTCTTCATTATCATTATTGTTGCCCATTTTAAAATTAATCACAAATGCCATTGAAGAAATTAGCAACAAAAATTTCCATAGCTGAGACTCCTTAAGGTATGTTATCCCAGAAGTGCCTGCATCTGTGTTTTAATCTATCAGACTCCCTTTTGTTGCAGTTTTCTCTCTTAAGGTGTTTTCTGGTTTTCCTCTTGTATAGTTGCACACTCTATACAGCCACAGTAACTGGTTCAAACCACTTCAGTGATCAGACTTCAATTTCAGACCTTTACTGAAATTTGTAAGGCAGTGTTATAAAAATGGCACTAAAAACAGCTGTCCAGGTGCTCCTATTTGCAGAAAAAAACCAAACAGTTATGAATGAGCATCATGGGCATGAAAGTCACAGGTATCACAGAAGAATTTAGGAGAAAGTGTACAAGATTTTCAGAAATGTTTTGCCCCCTTGCGCCCCATGATGCTTGATTTTGGAGTGAAAATTGTCCATATTTTCTGGAAGTTAGGATCTTTTAGTGGGCAAGAAGTTTTCCACAGCTAGGGCATAGGATGGGCATCCTTTCAAGCAGAAATGGGGGGGAAACCACCAAAAACAAGGAAGTTAAACCAACAGCAAATGATATTTCCTTCTCACAGGAGGAAATTATTTGGCTTCTTTGATCACTCTCACTCACCTCAGAGAATAAACTCCTAATTGGACTGACTCTTGCTGTGACTAGACAAAATTAGGAAACATTGTCCTTGAAGAAAATCTGCCTGAACAGAGAGGAGGATCCCAAAGGAAATGTTGTGGCTTCAGCTCTTTAGAATCAAGCACAGTTACACTTATTTAAGGAATTTTCATCCAAAATGATTAATTTTAATCCAAGAATTTATTCCTGTGTTCCCCAGACTGAGCTGGTGGAGTACACTGTCTAAGGACAAAGGCACACTTTTTCTACACTTGTACGCTCTCACGTCTATTTTTGCTAATTCAGGTATTACATGAGAGAATGGCTGCAAATTACAGAAGAAGTAGACAAGATCTATAGAAATATTTTGATTTTAAGGCCATAAGGGACCATAAAAACATCTAATGTCACCAGCTGGATGAGCAGTGCCAGGCTGAACTTCATCCAGTTACATCGAGAGGAAATCCATTGTGTTTGAAGCTACCTTTGAAAACTGCAAGTGATGAAGAATTTGCCATTTCCTTTGATATTTCCTTCATTAAATGCTTAATAAATCATCTTCACTGACATAAATCTGTGGTTTTTCTCATTTGAATGAGTCTGGCTTTTCTTCAACACATTGTTATTATGTGTCGTCCACTATGTTAAAAACCCCACTGTATTCTCCCAGAGAAAGTATAAAAGTTTAACAAAATCATTTTCTCTACATTAATTGGGACATTTAAAAAAAATCTGGTCACTGTTAATCTCCCCATTCTCACCAGCTGCTGTACAATTGAAATAACTGCACTATGGATTGCTGAGTGCCTATAACTAAGAGAAATGCTCAGGAAAGCCAGAAAGAAAATCATCAGCTTAAGTCACACTGACATTTTTTAATTTCTGACCCTTCTTTCTGATCCTCAGGTCTAGTTGCATTCTTGGTGAAATTAACTTGCGAAAATTCAAAACCAGCTTCATCAATGGTTAATGAAACCATAATTTCTTCTATTAAGAACATAATGAATTTATTCCAGCCTTATAGTGTTTTTATTGTTATGCTCTCTGGATAAATTAAGACAATTTGATGCTAATTGTAAGATGTTGAAATGTGTCAGTCTTACCATTAGATGATCATTTACAATCATCAACTCAATATATTTTGTTTCCTCTTCAACTTTACGTGGAATCTGACGAACCTATGGAGAGAATGTAACTTAGAGTCTAACAATACAGAGTGTAACTGGCAACAGACGCCTGCACTTAGTGGCTTCCCTACTTTAATAAACAGGGAATGAAGTCTCTGTTTAGAATATTTATTTTGAAACAAAATAAAGTGAGATAAAATAGCTACTTGTCACTATTGCAAAATGTTACAAAATATATAGGTTTTATTAAAGGAGTTTCTGATAAAACTATACTGAAAATGAGCAAAATTATTTTACCTACCTTTTCATTTGCCATATAGCAGTATTTTAAAATTTCCTAACTCTTCAGGGAGGCAATGTCCAAGAGAACCCATCAATGTTTAGCTTACATTAGATAGCTCTTTTTGTATTAGCTGTATTGATATAGAGATCTCATGCCAAACCAGCAGGAGCAGCAGGACTCCATCTGGACAAATTAACTCAGCAGACATGAAACAAACTTGACGGCACGTTCCTTATAAACAAGCATATTGGCACATACCTGCCTTTTCCTTCTTTTGTGTCTTGGCCTTACAACAAAATTCTGTGATGTGCTATTCGTCTGCCAGAATTCTAAGCAGAAAACACAGACAAATACATGGAATATTTACAAAAATATAGCCCAGCAATTAGTGACCCTGATGCAACATGACAGTAGTATGGCATTCTTCAGCACTTCAGATGCAGCAACAACTCATTTTTTCAAGTTTCCAGCTAGAAGGGAGGCAAGACTACAGATGCTTCCCAGTAACAGGGCTCTTATTAAAAACTCTACTAGTGATAATCTGGATCTGTTGAAACAGATGATCTGTGGGTGTCACGCTTCAGAAAGCACAGCAGATGTTCTATGCCAAAACTTCACCAATACTGGGCATGAAATATTATTAGCATAGTGCTTCCATGGAGTGAATCACATTTTCAGGAATTCAGCAGACATTCACAGAGCTCTTGCAACAGCTACCTAAATTAATAAGAAGAGCGTGGAAGGCAGAATTAATGCTTTAAGATGATTATATTCACAAAGCAAAATATGTCAGAGTTGGGACAAACCTTGGAAGATTTTGGCAATGCTCACTTGCCAACACAATATTCCTCTCTGCTAATCCCTCTGTGTCCTTAACTTCTTAAATCTCTAATCATAAGCATCAAGTAGTTTATTCTTTTGCCAAATCCTTTTCACCAAATCTATTAGTAGTCTCTCATGGAAAAGGACACATCATAAGCTAAGCAGAAGATAACACTTGCTCTTGCCCTTTCAAATGTCCAAGAAGTAATTTTCCATCTTTAAATTTAGATTCATGGTCCCTGCCTCTCTTTTCTCTATATAAAATACAGCTCTTTCCTTATCTTGTATAAATGTGTTTCCTATTTGCATAACCCCAAGAAGATCTTTTTGATTCATGCAAATTCACAGTTTCTTAGTTTGTAATAATGTTTCTCCTTTCACTGCTTTCCCTCTTTTGTGCTTTCTGTAGCTTTGGACATGCTTTCATTTTCAAGGAACTGAAAACTTCTTTCAGTTTTTCAGTGATTTTACCAGTCCTGCAGAGAAGTAAATAGTCCTATAGTGTTTATAGGACACCCCTACAGCGCTGTAGGATTGATGGAGCTGTGTAAATTAAGGAACTTCCAGTTCACATATCTTTGTACACAACTTCTGCTTGTTTTACAAATTCCTGAGCAGTTCAGTTTTGCTGGTGAGACAGGCAAGTTTCACACAGCTTCACTTCCTGTTGTACATTAATTGTACAATTTCTGCATGAGGTTCAAAAATAGGATTAAAAACATGCTGATAGGAACTTGACAGGGCTGCCATATCAGCAAAATCTTAAAACACAAAGCTGAGTTGCCCATCTGACAAGATATTGCCAGGCCCAAGGGATAATTTTAACCAAAAGTGGCAAATTACTAATAAGGCAAACCAGGAAAACAAAGCATGAGCAACTGGTATTGTTTTGGGTAAATGAGGGATTATGGTGTCATTTTGGTATGTGAGGTTTGCAGATACCTTTTCACAGAGCAACCTAGACAATCACAGGCTCTCTGCTTTAAAATGTTTTCATGGTTACACCAATGCACTTGAGGACATTCTTTAGAAAAAAGACCAAGGATAAATTCAATCACACCCAAGCTCCTTATTTATTGCTTAAAGACCTGCAGACTCTTGAGCTTTCAGTGATGAGAAACTAGATCTTGGAAACCTTTTTACAATGTTTTTGATTATGCTTTGTATGTTAATTTATGCTTATGTATGTTTATGCTTATGTATGTTAATTAGTTTAGACTCTGTTCTAGTGACACAAAACTGGATCTCAACCTGTCATTTTTGATTTTATAACATGCTTAATGACCCTGGTAAAAATAACACTTTTCAGTCAATAAAATAATAATTTACAGTATATATATCGATTCTCAGATAACTTTATCAGTGCTTATTTCACTCACAATCAGAAGTCAGTCATCTCTAAGGGAAATGATGCAGCCATTACCATTAACACACACTAACGCTGCCTTATAACTCACAAGATGGATAAATGCACACAGGTTGCATTTCCAGCCAAAGACCCTCAGGCAAAAGAACACAACCAGCAAAATCACAGGGAATGTTGATAGTTGAGAGATACTAGCAGATATTTTGATGGGAAATATATTTCCACAAAAAAATGTAATGAAGATTCATAAAATCATAGGATCATCTTGATTGGAAAAAGATTGCTAAAATCAAGTCCAACCATAAATCTAATACTGCCAAGTCCCACAAAATCATGTTCTTAAGTGTTGTATCTACATATTTTTCAAGTGATCCCAAAAGAAAATGACATCTGTTATGTATTATTTGAAAAACAGCACCTTTGATAACATATTGTTATCTAAAACCATGCCAGGGCATTGTAGATCTCAACAGAGATTGTGAGAAAAAACAGTCTGGTAAATATAAGGTCAAATGCTCTAAGTGTGCCAAGTCATCTGCCCAAGCTTCCTTATTTAAAATTCTCATTATTCCTCAGACCATTCCAAAGTACAGTAAGATAAATTCTTTTCTGCAACAGCTTGTGGGGTTTTTCTTAATACCCAGGGAGCAAAAGAATGTATAAAGTACATTGCTATTTAACTGGGATAGAATAGTGTGTGCTTTTACTATTGCTGATACTGAGTAATCCCTACCACTTGAAATTTTTTCCCTTTCTAACACCAGTATTGAAGCTGGTGATCTATCCAGTTCATTCCTAATGCAGTGGAAATGCTGAGTGGAAATCTCACCTTACACACATTTCTAAAGATAAGAGAAAAATCTTGACTTCAGGAAAAATCTCCTTAGGCCAGTCAAATTGATAAATTATGAGAGTAGCTATGATGATATATGCCAGCATAGCGCTTGCTACTGCTAATAATAATTTTGTTGTAGTACTTTAAAAAAATCAATCACAACAATACTAGTAGCAATTAACTGTAAAAGTTAATTAAAGAAAAAAAGTCAAGTCAAGACAGCAGTCTGACCTCTCCAGACTGGCAGGGAAGAAGCAGAGATACTGATGGAGCTCTCATCCTCTGGAGCTGTGACTGTGCATGGAGGATGACTTACAGGCAGAAATAAATTGAATAATTACACACAAAGAAAAATTGTGGGTCTCCTAATGAGGGTATAATATTATACATGTACTGTAATTTTCACTACAAACATCAGAAACACCTTTTCAAACAATTTTACAAAAACAAGTATGAGCATGTGGGAGAGTAGACTATGAATTAGAGTCCATTTCTCCACACATGGGACCCTAAACATAAAATGATGGAAGATTAGCACCTGTACCTCTCATCCACATTACAAATACTTGCATAACTGAGAAGACTAGCACTCTGCAACTGAATTTCCTTTTTAACCTTTTCTACAATCCTGTGATTCTAATTCAATCTAGATGGCAACATGTTCCATTATGTCACGTTCTGGGCTTTGTACAGCAAAGCCAGCAACTATTTATTTGTTATCTGTAGTAAAATCAAAACTTTACAAGCATGTCTGGATTTTTGTGGGAAAACAAATAAACAAAACAAGACCATGAATCCCTAGTTCGACAGTTTTTCAAAAATCAAGAAGCTCTGGTGGAGGTGAAACTGGGGCATTTATTTGCAATTAATCCCTTTCATAATTTTAAAAGCAGAAAACAATTTTATTCCATAATCTTGAAAACATAAAATTCACTATTAGGAAATCTTATTAAACAGCTTATAGATAAACCAACACTAGCAGTGTCTTAGTTTAACAACCTGAGATAGAAGATTTATTTTAAACTCAGCATTGGCTGCATTATTTCCAATCTTTTGAGTCAAGAAAATGTGATAAATGATGCACTCTATTATTCAGCCTTATGTTCAATAAATTGCTCTCATTACACTATCATCTCTGCCAGCACAGGGAGCAAGCACGGTACGCGTGTAAGGTGCAGGTACAGAGGAAGTTTTGTGACACAGAAGTCACTGCCTTGCACAAAAGTCATGAGCTTTTTGTGCTCATGTCCCTCCATCCCAACATTGCCTCTGCCTTGCCTGGGCAATCATCATCCCAGGAGAGGAGCCACCAAGCTGGGACAGTGGCTTTGTTTGGATTCAGATTCCTTCTTCAGAACTGAAATTAAGGCAACCAGATTGTGGCAAGTTCCTTTTTTCCCCCTTCTTTTCTCATTAGCTCCCTGAATGATTCCGCTTTGCTTAACAACTGGCAAACCTGCACAAACTGCGCTCCAGGGATGGGCCCATCTGCGCACAGCACTCAGCACCTCAAGATCTCAGATCCAAATGCTGCCATAGGACAAATAGTTTGTAACAAGATAACCAAACATCTGTAACTCTCCTGAAAAAGTCAGACTGAAGTGGTTTCTACCAAAATGTCAGTGTCTACAAAGGACAGTTTATCTAGGATATGCATTGTAGGGCAGGAAAACACATCTGTAACAAATCCTTGACAGAATGGGGAGATGTCACAAATACTGCAATTTCAGCTTCAATTCACAAGCCAGCCTCTCAGATGAAAACCCATTTTTTTTTAGAAAACCTTTCTCCCTCCACACACAATATGGGCATTCATCACTACAAGCACTTGAAACCACTTCTGCCTCCAAATTCATCTGTACTGAAACGCATGGCCCTCATCATTGCCAGCACTGTGAAAGATGCTGATGGAAGTGGAGATCAGAGTCACTGAGCAGAAACGACACTGGGCAATTTCTTGTCTCCCAGGCTTATGCTCACTCCATGGTACTCACCCTGTATCTCAAAACCAGAAAAACCCATGAAGAGTTATCAACCACCATCAAGGTGGTGTTAATTTTCATCACCTCTAGGCTACCTCAGCCCTTTCCTCTCTACAGCTACCAGCACATAATTCACACCACAGACCACATGACCTGTTAAGAGAAACACATATCACAATGTGAAGGTCTAGGAGAGATTTAATTCATTAGATTCAGGATTTTTTCATCACTTCAGATTCTTTTCCTGCGCTTTCACTGTTTCAAAATGGATTTTTTTCAGTGTGTGTTTGTTTTTTTTTTTATTTATTTGGGTAAAAGAAGGTGTATATATAACAAAACAATATACTCTTAGAAGATGATCTATCAAATATAATCAAAAAATTTGGCCTTAGAATAAAACACTCAGTAAGTGATGAATACTAAAAAATCATACCAGATGGCAGGTCGACTGAAGGAAATTCAAACAACTTGGATTTGTAAACAGAGTGGAAATGGAAGTCATCCTGAAATAGTAAATAATTGTCCATATTACATCAGGAAAAATTAATCCATCTCATGAGCATTAAACAGACAATTCCAAAGGTTCTTGTCACCCAACGCACACCCCAGAGAACATGCAAGTTGCAAAGCACCATTACTCTACATTCTTCTTTTCCCAGCTGCAATGTTATTGCTAATGCCACATTTAATCGCCTTTCATATCTGAGTACCTCAAACACAGAGGCTGAGCACACAGAGCTAGGCCTAAACTGGGCTCCCAGAGCTGCTCAGGGAGAGACAATGAAAGTCCCAGGAGTTGCTGAACTGGAGTCAAGGAAGAACCAGGGGGAGAGTGATATAACAAACCCAGAGCAGCAAGTGCCAGGGAAGGGCACTGGGCACTCACAGGCTCCAAGGGACCCTCCCCTAGTGCTGCAGTGCTCTACTGCCAAGAGCTACAGAGCACACACATACAGACACATCACTAATGTCTAATTTTTGCAGGTCTGCCTTTGTCTGTGAAGATGGAGTCTCACATTTGAGGTAGATGAACTGGGAATGAGGGGGGATCCTTTGGTCCCACAGCCTTATGCCTACCCTGCACCCATGATGACTACTCAAAAAAACACAGCAGGACTACTGTAAATTCTACTTACATCTGAAGTGTAGTTTTCATCTGGTTCAATAAGGTAAGTATGATTTCCATCATAGAACATCCCACTGTCAAGAGCAGGAAATGTAAATACAGATTTAATAAAGAAACACTAGTGCGACATGGAAGTAACTTCTTAAAGTTAATATACTTTAAAAATTTTAATATTTGGGGAAGGAAGAGTTTAAAATGGTTTCAGGAACTGAATGCAATTCTGGATCAATCTTTTTGTTTATTCATTTTAGAAAGAAAGATTTTCTCCTGTGGTGAGCAGACTCTTCTTTCTTCTACAACACTCATAAACACAAAATGGACTAATTTAACCAACTGAAAATCCAGTTCAAAGCCCCCACTCCAACGCAGGATATATTTATCTGCAACAGATAAATAAGGGACCTGTCTTTAGGAACACATATTTGGAGCATATGCATAGCTTTCTCCAATTAAAAATGATATTGAATGGAATTTAATATGCTTAGGTTTTAATGAGTTTTTTATTAAGTCTTTCCCCAGCATTTCATATAAAGAATGTGTTGATACAAATATTACTCCATAAGAGCAGAAAAGCAAATGTTATTTCTTATATCAATACATTCTGATCTTCAACCAAACCAGAATATTTTTAAGTAACTTTTTCTTTACTGCAGGGGCATACACACATGGGTAGGATTAGGTTGTATTAGCATGTGTCTTTCAAAAGGTCACTACTAAGGTGTTTAAGCTTGGCCCTAAATATGAGCTGTAAATTCAAATTTGGCACATAGCACATAACAACAACAGCATGAAAGTGAGATTATTTATTTACTTACGTTACTGTTAAAAACCCCCAAAACAAACAGGAATTACAAGCAACAAAAGCAAATCCTTTTCTTTTTTTTTTTTTATGCAGCTTTTTTATCAGCAAAATTGACATTCACAGAAGTAACCTGGGTTACTGACTGTATAACATATGTCAAGTATGAGCATAACTACAATGTAAAGCTGCTTCACCTGTGAAATTACACATGCCTATTCTTTAGAAATAAATACTGTCTATACAATTTAAGCAAAATATTCTAGCATCTGCTGGAGCTTCTTTGCTTGGAAATGAGATGAGATTGGGGAAGATCCTGTAGCTCTTTACCAGTCTAAATTTCCTTTCCTCTGTTTGCAACTTTAGATGAGCAGGGTCTGCAAGCTGAAGCGCTGTCAGCAAAGAGCTTCTCATGAGTCTGCTGCTCCCAGCAGCACCGACCTCTGACCAAGTCACTCAGCAGCGACAAGAATAATAGTCACAGCTGACTTACAGACCTGCCTGCCCACTCAAAGCATCCATGGCTCTTTCCCCACCAGCTACCATAGACCTAGTGCGCTCTGAGTAAACCGCACGCTCATGGGTGTGTTACAGAGAAAGCAAACATTTCAGAAGCCTGCATTTTGATGATGTGTGTTCCTCAGACAATCCCGTTCGTCGCCGTGGCAGCGGCACTCACAGCAGGGGCCGCAGTTCCTGCGTTCACCACCAGGCGGCAGCACGATCCCGGCCGAGCCGCGCTCAGCGCAGCGCGCTGACACCCGCTCGGCGCTCGGCCTGGCTTGGGCCAACCACGGGAAACCGGGCTTACCGAGCATCCCCGGAAAACAAACAAAACAAAAATCCAAGCAAAACGGCTTGCTCGAAGTTAAGGTGGCAGAGATACTTTTGTCATTAGCCAAGTGAGTAAGAAGACATCCATAATTTCAGGTGTTCTGTCAGCCGGATGTGATCGATTTAATTCATAAAAGGAAGGATACAAAGCAGACATTACTAAAATAAGAACTCATTATTAAAAAACCTCAACATTTTTTCACCTGTATGAATAATTCTGCTGTTACTGGCTGAGATCTAGAGGTACTAACATGCAAAAGAGGAGACTGGCATGACCTTTAGAAATATGAAGCTTGTTATTCTCTTAAAGGCATCTGTTTTGTCTTGTGTGCTTCCTAAAATTCATGAAAGCAAAGCTCCTGCCCAGACCTTGCAGAAGACAACTCTGCCCAGCTACCCTTATTCCAGCAAGATATTCCAAAGTGGGGCTGAAGCTAAGGAGCTCTGATTGCCAGTGTGAGCTTCTAGTAATTACTTATCACTTAAAATCAGCTGTGTAGGAGCTAGTTGCAATGATGGAAATGCAGTGGCAGAGAATGTGAGTTTAATACAGCTCAGGAAACATTACTTTCTTGTAGTGGATGTTTGAAATACCAGCCTGATTAGAGTAAGCTTGTGTCAAAGAACTGAGCTCAAACTTTATTGTATCAGGGGAAAAAATGGAGGGGAGATGGGGAGAGGAGACAGAGAGATATCTTTCAAGAGAGAGCTGAATTATACAACGAAAAAAATGCATCATCTATCATGTAACTTAGAAGGGACCAATTTGGATATCAGGCCATGGAAGAACACAGAGCAGCAGAAGAGTCAGTTTTAAGCATAAACTCACAGAAAGAGGGCAGGAAAAGACATATGTAGGCTCTCCTTTGTTCCTGCCTTTTCTCCTAGGAGTTAGCAGGGGCCAAGACCTAATGGAACCCTGCTAATGGAAGCCAGGCAGTGCCTCAGGATGCATTAGGAAGATACTATTTTTAGGCTCACTGTCCGTGGTTCAAACTGGGCTCAAGTTTCTTGAGCTGCACAGCTGTAAATCAGACAAGTGCAAGGATGACAAGTTTTCTGCAGGCATTCTCCCCTTCCTAACAAAGAATGTGCAACTATAAAAGAAAGACACCACTCAAATAAAAGTACTTATATGACTGACACCAGAACTACAGAATAATTGCAGATAGACAACAGGCTGAAGAAGATTTCCATCAGCTAAACCCTGCTTCCACAGAAAAAGGTAAAGCTGAGGTGAACTCCACACAGGCTCACTTGGTGCCATGCCTTTTCAAGCTGATGTCAGTAATAGTGGTGCTGAGATCCTGTAATTCCCAGGTGTGACAGGCACTAGGTTGATCTGAACACCTGACTAGCATCATTCAATAGTGCCAAAAGTCAACAGGTCCAAAAGCTGTACAATCCAAACACAGCTTCATGTAACCGTCACTTGACAGAGGATTTATTTGTAAGTAAAATTATGTACTTCAAAGAAAAATTTTTGCACCCCCATACATTTTCTTCTAGATTTTTCAAGATTTTACTATATGCAAGGTATTACCCCATACACACAGCTTAAGGCCAGAAATTCTGTTAACAAAAATGGAAAATGCAAGATGAATTCTAAAGTGACATTTCCTTTGTAAAGATACTAGAAAAGAAATACAGTATACATCATTATAGCAACAAGAAAAGAATACAACTTCCAAATAATTCATTGGCATTGTTTTTATTTTTGTAGAATAGGACGTTTTCAGCTACTTCTACACTGCCATCCCTATAATAAATTATCTTAAAACAATACCTGGCAACTGCCATTAATCCTGAATTTAGAAAAAAAAAGTAAATTCTGAAGATTTTTGATTACTTAATATTGGTGACAAAGTGGTAGGAAAATAGACAGCACTTGTTTTACTATATTCATGCATTATTTTACTATAAATAACTTGATTTGGCTTAAAAGAGTGATAAACAAAAATCAGTAAAAACAAAACAGCAGACTTACTGTAATCCATGGCATGTTGACAAGGCAACAAATGATACAGAATTTCCTCGAATTTTTCCCTGATAATAGCAATGTTCTCCTCCCTGAAATTGGAAATTGACACTGTAAATCCATGGGACATTCCACAGCATCACACTTCATCCCGTCAAACACTGCTTTTCCATAAACACTTCCCCAAGCCATTGACATGGCACCAAGAACTGACTATCACTCATGTAGGAGTTCATCCCATCTTCTTTGAGCCTTGGTTTGGTACTTAGACAAACACCATCATCTTGACCCTGTACACCAAATGGTGTATTTCACAATTTCAGTGTGAAATCCCTGACATCCTGAGGTGAATTTCAGAGACAAATTACTCCAGAAGTGCTCATCCTTCTTCACTGACTAGGAAAAGAGTTGGCAGTAGGGGGCTCAGACTCCACATCTGCTCTGCACATGACTACATCAGACAGGATGAACTCTGCTCTGAGGGTAAGGCAATTTCCTTCTTCTAAGTAGAAAGGTATGCTAACAAAATAATAATAATGCTTGATTGGAAAAAAGACCAAAGCAGAAGTAGTCACTAGCACTCCAAAGCTAATGGAAACTAAGAATAACTAAGTAGTAAAGGAATACAATGAAAATGAATGTTTGCCTCTCCTCTTCTGCAAATAAAATGTATATCTTTCTAATAAAATCCAGCTGACTCTACTCAAAAAATCCCCCCCGGTTTCTCTGTAGTACGGCTTTCACTGATAAGCCCTACTACACATGCGATAAATTTATTCAGTATTGCACAATAGCAATATTTGTATGCAAAATTAGAAAAACAATTCAAACATCCCTTAAATTCTCACTGACATCTACTCTTCAGAATAGCTTACCTATTAGTGTCTCACCAAATTCAGCTATGCTGTAATGCATTGACACTGGTTAAAGGACTATGAAGGAGATTTTCAGTCCTTTTCTTTTTTAATAGCATTTATTTGAAAATACTTCCTCCAGCAAATGAATGAATAATCTACCTAGCGTAATGTACCCAGCCCTGTGAATATCTATGTCCATTTACCAGAGGGAGGGAAAGGCATTACAATTACAGCTGTTTCAGAAGCCAGTAGTCACTTACATGATGCATAGCACAGTCATTTTAGGCATCGGACATTAAATGCTTTTTGATTTTATTTTTCAAATACAAAAAAAAAAAAAAAATAATCCAGATCAGGCTATAGGTGAGAAAATATGTAGGCTATGTTGGTAGTTCTGATCAGGAGACCTTGTTCTGTTTTCTACAAGATGTGAAACCATTGTTGAAAGCAGCTACAATGCGTGGGTGCCTCTGGTTTGAGGTGCGCCCCTAAAGAGAGCACAGGAGTCTGCACAGCTGCCCACAGGGAAACAGCCTTGGTCTCAGCCTGGTCAGAGGAGTCCTTCACCACACTGACCTGCAGAGTGCCCACCGTGCTGCCCACCATGGGCCCCGCTCTGCTCAGGTGTCTGAGGGGAAGCTGGTGCCACACAGGTCGTGTTTGACTCCTTGTCCCACATTGGGAGTGTCTGACAGCAGCTGTAGGACCCATCTCCCCTGGGACAGCATTTCTTATGACAATCCAGAACTTGGGACACAGATCAAGTATCAGTGAAAAGGAGATTGTTTCAATTTCTGCTTTGCACTCATGTACATTTTAGCCACCAATATCCTAAGTTAATTTGATTTCAGACTATATCCTTCCTTGTCTTTCCTGAAATCTTCGCTCATTTTCTCCATTTTATCCTCTTTTTCTACACCTATTTACTTCCTATATCTTAGCTACTTTAAGCTCTCTTGACTTGGGATTTTCTTTCTTTTAGTCAGTAGGGTGTCCCCCACTACAGGATCATGGAACTGCTCAAGGCTTTCAGGTCCGTTTGGAATACATGAATAAGAAGTAAACAAAGAGAGACTCCAGTTAGCAAATAACAAAGCTAAAAATCAAACTATATGGATGATCTAAAACCTTATGAGAAATAAAATACTCTCTAAAGAGAATTCTTGAAGTAGTATTCCTGTAAAAGACATAACTGGAATAAGTGCATGTATATGGAAATAACAGTGAAAAGACTATCAGTAGGGAGTTGTACAGGCTTCTAGCTGTGGAAGGAATTTAGAGTAATTACACAAATTGGTTTGTTCTCAGAAAATGTAGTTAATATGTACCAGAAATAGAATCTCAGGCTCCATTAGTTTGCAAAACCATGTCTTTTCAAACAGGAGGAACATTTTTTCACACTAAGAATCCAGACTGTGGCTCAAAAGTGTGTTTTGATCTTTCAAATGAGAATCAAATAAATGTCCCATGACAGTACCTCCAAATTAATTTATTCTGTAATAAAGCCATGGGAAAAATTATGCATACAGATCTAGAAAATAAAAGTATAACAAAAACAGCTCTAAATTCTTGTCTGGGAAAAATACAATTGAGATACGCAAATTCTACTCTATTTAGTCAAATCAGTTAAACTCAACAATCTACTAGAGCTCATGGTAATTCTGGTGGAGATAGAAACACAACTCTGATCTCAGTCTCAGGCATCAGTTCTTATCACTACAAAACATTCCTTTCTATATGCTAACATCCAGGAGATATTTTTTATTTATGTACTTATGTTCCTATCATTATAACATAAGTCACTGCAAGCTAGTTAATAAAATTCAGCTAAAAAAATTATTTTCACTTCTTTAAATGAAGATAGTTTTTTCCAAGTACTTGATGCATGCAATTATCTGAGGTGGTTAGAGCATGGTGCTAATAACACCAAGGTTCTGGGTTTGACCCCTGTATGGGTACTTAAAGCCACAAATTCTGAGAATTTAAGTGTCCAGGAAACCACTGGATGGGGCACTCAGTGTCGTGGTTTGGTTGGCATGGTGGTGTTTGATCAAAGGTTAGACTTAAAGAACTTGGAAGTAATTCCCAAGCCTAATGAGTCTATGATTCTGTGGTTCTGTACTGAGAGTCAGGACACATGAAGGCACTCTACAGGGCAGGTTTTTTCAAGCATATGTAAGTTTGAGCAAGAAGTTTACTGTTGCTGTTTCACTATAGTGCTGAGACTGAAATTGTGCTGGGTTTGACATCTACTAAACCTGTCTGATAGCAGGTAGTGACATAAAATGCACTGTGTTAGAGGAGAAATCACAGTACGTGAAAGACCTAAGACCACCAAACACTAAATATGATCATCATATCTATCTTCTTTTACTCTGCTCTTGGAAATACTCCCTGAAGGACTGGGGTTGTCTCTCTTACCTACTGATATCTTCAGCAAAGAGACAAAAGCTGAAAAAAAAAATCTTCATTTTTTTCCTAAAAATATTCTGGTCCTATATGATAATTAAGGCTTCCCTTAAGAGTTGAAATTAGCACTAACTACAGTTCAGTCCAGAACATCAAGGGTTTTTTGTGAAGAGCTATTGGCTTCCTGTAGCTAACAGAGCCTCTCTCTGTTCTCTCAAAAGCAATAATTGCCCATCTCAGCAAATCAAACCTCCACACTGGTCTTTGCCAGCTACTGGGGGATGGTTCAGTGTAAGACGAGAGGAAATCAGACTGCTCTTCAACATATGCCAGCCATAAGTCTGAGCAGCACATTCACCCACTTCTGCTCTAAAATTGAACCTGGTCACTCCAGAGTCTGGGAGAAAATTAGGCTAAATGTCATCTCCTATGAGACAAGGTCAGCCTGGTGACAGCAGCTGTGACACAAACCTGCAACACCCATTTGCCTGCAAGGCAAATTGTTCATGGCACTCTGTTGTCCATTTCCTTGGATCAGTAAGTTATCCTTCCTGCACGAACCTTCTCAACGTGAGGGACAACCTACTGGTGATGTCCGAGGGCATTACAGAAAATAGAGATTTTTAACAAGTTTATTAATTTGGAGAGATAAAAATGTAGTAACATCCTACAAAAAATAAAAAAAATATAAAAACCAGAATGACCCCAGGGTCATTTTAAACAAGTAATCATTATTATAGTAGTCAATTCATAAGATAGCCTTCATCTTGATGGATAATTCTAGCAAAATCCTGAATTAGGGCTATTTACCCTGTGAATTGCTACAGATCATCTCTAACCAGATGCAACCCTTTTGCCCATGTCGGTACAAGTCTTCTTGCAACCTGTTGGGTACATAGCATGGCAAAGATACTAAAAAATGGTAAGACACAGATGTCAGCAATGCAAATAAAATCTGTCCCCATTTTTATCTTTTAAGATAGTTTGTCCCTGCTTTGAGAGGCATCAGCTGCTGAGCAGACACAAAAGAGGTGAAAAACACATTAACCAGTACTCATAATAAAGGGTGAAATAAGTAAAGCGAAAGAACAGCCCTGACAGTCATTAATGGCAGCAGCTCCCTCTTCTCTGCAGTCACAGTGCAGAAAGCATCTGCTGACCATACACTGGCAGGGTTTGTTATTCGCCTCAGAGACACTGTGACCTTCCCAGGGGAGGAAAATAAGGAGGCACATTCATCTGCTTTCTACATTGGATATCCAAGTAATCCATTTTCTGCAATTAAGAGAGGTGCTGGCCAGTAAAATGCAGGCAACAGTAAGGCACTGACCTTAAAATTAATACCTTACTTTTCTCCTACATATTCCTATTTTAACACTCTTTAATCCACAGGAAAGGAGATTGCTGGTTTAATTCAAATCCTCGTAACATATTTCCCTCTTTCCTTGCACCAGAAAGTTCCCAAAAGGCCAGCTAAGGCTCAAGCCACCATTCTGTGAATGCTAGATAATGATGAGCTGCCAGATAAAGATAAGCTGTTTAAAGGGCTACCCATTGTGGGGCCACCAGTTACAAAAATACATAACTAAGGCTGCACGATCAACAGCAAAAGGAAAAGAAAATGCACCCTTGCTCACTGACTTCTATGGCAGAAAACAGCTTGTTATGAATGGGTTTCTATATAGTAAATAGAAGAGTCAAAATGGCACTTTGACCTGTGTAACTGCAATGAGAGAAAACACCTTTTAATTGACACGTAGTTCAGCAATTGTCAGGGGCCCTGCTGTGCTGAGCCCTGAGTTCAGCTCCTACTCAGCTCA